CTTCCCTCCCTCCCCCTTTCCATTGCTTTTCTGCTGTCCTTTCCCCAATTTCTTTTCCTTCTGATTCCCCCCTCCTTCTAACAGTTTAGACAACTAGCTATAAACGGCAAGAACCCATCACTTATTTTAAACCTTCCCTATGAGTGTGTGGACACAGGCGGTGAGGAATTGTGGGCTTCTCCAGATTTGGCGAGAGGCTACCCACAGCAGAAACCCCATACATTTGCTGCAAAATGGACCCAATATTCCTGCTCCAAGCAAGAGCAGCTTCTAGGTGCAAGTGCATCGCTAGTCAGAGCTGGCAATCCAGGGGCTGAAGCGAAGTACTGTATGTGGCCTGCCCACTGAAAGCTCCTGTGATGTCTTCATGGCTCATGGAGGGTGGGCAGGTTTGCCTTGAGCCCTGAACCCAACATAGGAGCTAGGGGTCCTTGCTGCAGGGGGTGGACATGGCTTGCCACTTTTATGCTGAGCCCCCAAATCCTTTTTGTTCACAGGAAAACATAGGGCAAAAGTGGGGAACTTGTGGCCAGCCATATGTTGTCGGACTAAAATTTCCATCATCCCTAAAAATTGGCTGTGCTAGCTGAGGCTGATGGGAGTTGACATCAAACAACACCTGGAGGGCCATAGATTCTCCATCTCTGGCACAGGGCAAAATCAAACCACTTTGTCACACTTGGAACCAACCCATTAGACTTTAAGTCCATTATTTCAATCTTTTTTATGCTGGTACATCTCTCTGTAAGAGGGGTGGGAGGGAGTAGTTGTTTATAATATATCACTGCTCATTTGAAAATCTTTTAGATTTGTTTTCAGTCAATTTCACAGTGGTGAGTTGCCGGCCTGTGAAATGTTTGAGACTGCTGTTTCAAATTATTGCTTTTTATTGAAATATGATACTGGATTCTACTGTTGCTCTTACATAAGCTGCCTTGTGAGGGCCTTGCCCTAAAAAAGAAAAAAAAACAGCCGAAGAAACAAATAAATTAAATTAAATCAGGTTCCTGGATGTCCTCGGGGTGAAAAGGAGCGAAAGCATGCTCAACTACCTCCCTTCAGTTCTAAACCTATTGTGAGCCTGGGCTTTTTGGTTTTGACAGGAAAGGAAACAGAAATGTGTGAAAGTTCATGAGCCAGCCTCTCCTATGGCTACTCTCCCCCAAAACCCCTAGGGGACAATCAACCATCCCTTTTGACTTACCCTACCATTGCTAAACAAGTTTACAAATCTATTCAAGCACCATGGAAACAAAGTTATCCAAAGAAAAATATAAGCCAATGATGTGCTTCATTTGCAATGTTGATTCTGAGGCACAGAGCTGGACCCTTTCAGAATTGGCAGAGAGGAAGGTCAGGAATGAACATAGGCAAGCCTGACTAAACCTATAGTGCATTTGCAGAGCACTATTTGTATTTGACAGAAAAAGAGTATCCTGTATGGTTAAAGCTGTGAAAGAGAACCCTGAAGTACCCACTTTTCTGGTTTTACCCCAAATCAGGAACAGAATCTGAAACACAGAGGGTCCCTTAATAAAGTCTCACTGCTTCTATGGCTTCCAAGCTAGCTTCCTTCTCCACCTGTTTTCAAGCAAAGGGCCTCTTTTATGAAATAAGTAATTAATTATGCCCAGAAGTCTGGTGGCTTTCAGTTTGCAGCCTATTCTACGATCCCAGGAAGCACACAGAGCAGTAAGACTGAGCCATCGCTTTGCACAGATACTAATAATAATAAAAGTCAGTGGATGAAAACCGTAAAGAACACAGATTAAACACCAAATGGCTTTCAATGCAATCAAAGCAAAATCGTTTAAAATATACAGCCATTGTATTCAGATTTATGGCCCGAGAGTGGCAAAGTGAAGAAGGAATATTGCTGCTCTAACCGAGGTGCCTGTTCGAGGCGAGAGTATTAATGACTGAATTACTGTTACAGCAAGGGCACAGGGTGTCTCCAGGTGACCTTTCCAATGATACATGGTATGACCTTCAACTCCCAATAGTTCAGAAGAAGCCATAGGCTGACCACTGACATATCATTCTTTCCCAGTGCACCACTATGCACAGGGCACCTAAATGCCTGCTGCTTCTGGCTTTCACGCTAATTTTATTTATTTATTTTATTATATCCTGCCTTACAGTATACCCAGCTGCCCTCCACCCCCTCTGCACAGGCCTGCTGTAGGCTTTGATCACACGACAAAGCAGAAACGTGAGAACTGGTAATGAATACTTTCTTACCAGAACTCCAGGATAATTTAAGACTTTTGAAGGTGGAGAGTAGATTGGACAAATTTTCATCTTAGAAAAACAGAAGGGCATTAACTCACTGGGAATGTCATTAAAACGGACAGCAGTAACAGACAAGCACAAGATGTGAATTGTGCCTTAATCAGCGGTTTTACAGATTATCATTTTGGAGGAGCAACTTCCCTCTTGTCAGAATTGTAGATAGAGGAAATATGACTAGTTTACTAGTCCTGACCCAGCATTGTGTAACTGTAATAGGTGCATGCAGTCTTGCTATGGGGGGAAAGACTGAGTAATACATTCTGTACTAGAGAGCCTGACATAATTAAAATTTAAATGATGTACACTGAAGTTCTGATCATCCTTCTGGGGGTTTCTTTCAGCTTCTACAGATTGCAACCTGAGTTGCTGTAAAAATCTGTGAAACCCACTTGACCAAACACTATGGTAGTAAAGCACGGATACGGATACAGACACACAAACACACACACAAAACCTGACAGCTCTATAATACTTCTTCCAAATGACTGAAAAGCCCAGCCAAAGTCATCAGCTTAATGAATGACTGCAGGGTATTTGAAAGAGGTTTGAGCAACACCAACATTAGCTTGTCTGAATAATGTATGCATCCAATTTTCATTAATTTCAGCGTCATCTTACCAACAGTGTCTCATTACAAAGAAGCATTCATGGACACTGTTCAATAAGGACGAAAAATGCTTTTTACCCAGTGTTGAGTTAAAATCCATTTGATTTGCATTAGGAATTCTCACAGCAGAGAATTTTTAAATCCATGTTAGTCGGTCTGTATTTCACTTAAGGCCGTGGTTAATATAAATTAGGTTAACATACTTTCCAACATTCCAAGCAAGTGACTTTTCACTTTATAGCCTCCACCTCCCTGAATCAATGTGAACATTTAGACTGTTTGGGATGCCTGAGAGAGGAATGAGCTGATTAAGCACTTCTGAAATTCAAGATTCGTACCCTGAAATTATTTATCTATATACTTATATAGCATCATCATCCACGTGCAGAGCACTTTATAAAGAATGAAAGGATATTCTAACATGCAATGCCAAACTATACCTGCTTTATTACACACTGTACTATCTGGTTCCTATGCCTACTGGCTGCTGGTTGTGTCAAACTTCAATGTCCTACAAGAGTTTAAGTGTAAACTCTTATCACCTTGCTTTAAAACTGCAAGAACATAATAAGACATTTTGTGTGAAGCCTTTACAATACTCAAAAATGCTATATAAAAGCACCAGCTAAAATAATTATTACAATATGCTAGAAAGACTTGAACCCTGAAATTCTTAAAAAGTGTTCCTATTTGGAATGATACAGATACACTTGTCTGTAAAAAAAACCTTTGTATTCTGCCTTAGAAGAACATATTTTGACATGAAATTTCAAAATTATTTGGGACAGCATGCTACTAGCCACCAAAGTTCTTATGTCGGCTTGTTGATTTTTCTACTGCCAACACAAGTTCATATACTCGCATCTAGGCTCCTCCACCAGGTGTTCAAGGATACACCGAAAGTCAAAGCTTTCTTTATTCCTGATTCTTTTCAAGGCATCTCTTTGGTCTAAAAAAGATGGCTTCATTTTCTGACTCTGCTGCCTGAATTACACTTACACAGCTCAGAATGACAGTGACAGCAGGTGCTGAAACTCTCCAATGATTTGACTTCAGCCCCAAAATTATACTCTTCCATTGCCTCCTGAGACAGCTGGATACAAACAATGCAGGACTGCATATGTTTGCCACTCCTCCAAGCCCCTCAAACAATGTAACATGGCAGGGTTTAGAAGCCTGCCAGCCTCCAAGAAAACTGTGGGTACTACCAAGAAACTTGAAATGGTTCATCAGTGGGACCCTTAATTTTCTTAGAGGCAGGTGTCTCCTCTTCTTGAACTTTCTTCTCATTACTTAAGAGAATTTTCACAGGCTAGAGGCAAGCAAGAGCACTCCACATAACTGCGGAGCCAACTCTCTGAGACAAGATTGCTCTGAATTTGGAAATAATTCACTGATTCCCCCCCCCCTTACAATAGCCTGATAATTACATTTCACACAAAAAGGAATTATCACCTCTCCAGAGCTGTAACAGCACTAACACTGCAGCTGGCAGGCATGATGTCTCACCCACCTTTCACCTGCCTCAGACATTCACTCCCTTCTTTTATTTAACTCCTTGTCAAAACTGCTCCTTTCAGATTAGACAGGAAAGATGCCATAAAAGAGGCGGGGAAACCAGACGTTGGGTTTCAACTCCCTGCAGCCATAGTCCACATGGCCAATGGCCATCCCTATTTAGTGTATCTTCTTCCTGCCTTAAAGACTTCTTACGAGTTATACAACTCAAGGAGGGGCTACGAAAAAGATTTTAACATTTAACTGACTAATTAAATAAAAACCTGTTTATAGACTAAACTGTTTATTACACAAATTATACCACTTAGGATCATAAGAAATCTCTAAACAGTTTGCAAAGAATAAAAACACATCAATAAAATTTCATAAAAGCATGTAAAAAAAAACCTGAACAAAACAATGTATCACAAATAAAACTGAGCTGTAAAGAAAATAGGAAATAAAAAATTAATGTCAGAGTCCAAGAAAGTATGGCTAAACACTTTAAGAAGTGCTTATTAGGGTCTTTCCCTCATGAATTACTTGAGGAATGGTATTCCAGGGGGTGGGTGCTACCTCCCAAAAAAGCTTTTGTGATACTCACCAGCTGGGCTGCTTTCAGCTTCTCTTCATTGGTGGTATTCCTCTCCCGCTGGAGGCTCACATTCAGACTCTCGTTGGCTGCCTCCCGCTCTCTTTTGGCCAGTCGCAGTAGCTCCTCTTGGACCATTGCCTGCTCTTGCTCATACCTGTTGGGAGAAGGAAGGGCTCAGCAAATCCCTTTGGACTCCCAAATTAAGATGCAGCTCTCGTGGCCGGAACCATAGTGAGAAGAGTTATGCTCTACATGGCACAATCACCAGCTCATGGGACCAGGTCACCATTTTAATTTCTGGAGCACAATGGGCTATAAATGTAATTGAGCAAAGAGCAATCCAATCAGAAGGTGATGCACACACAATTGGCTCCTACCCAGTCATTCCAGCGTTCAACTATTCAGTGACACCACCACTACACCACCTCACCCCCACCCAGGGAAGAGAATAGATTTTAATATACTATCTTATAGATCATACATGCCCAAGTACTCTGATACACAGTAATACCAGGAGTGAGAAAATTCTTCATTGCCTTAAGGTTGGGTGGAGAACTTGTGGTTCTCCAGATGTTGCAGGACAACCATCCCATCAACCCTGAGCATTGTCCAAGCTGCTTAGGTCTGATGGACCAACCACAAAACAGTAGCACTGCACAATGTAAATGGCCTCAAAAGAACACGAGGAATCTGTATGATGATCTTATGATGCAAACATATCTCACCTCTTGTACAGATCCTCCTCTGCTTCAGAGGGTTTTCGGCCCAAGTTGTCAGCTGTTGGTGGATGGATCTCTGGAGAAAAGAAAAGAATACAATTAATGTGGAACAAAAAGTTGCCTCTCTCCTTGATTAATGAAAATATATGATGTATAAATAGGCAGAGGTGTAACATTCCAGCAAGTCACTGAGTTAAATTAGCAATGGTCTACGATTGAGTGAGAAAATCTTTGTTAAATCATGAAGACTGAATAAATTGTTCCTGTAACTATGACACGGAACAAGGCAGGTGGGAGTAGTGTGGAGTTCATCTTTAAAGCAGAGGGGCTCTTACAATTATTATTTTTTTACCCACAACTAGACATTGTGGGGGAAAGCTAATCAGCTCATTTTCAACCAGTAAAGAACTGATTCACTAGCTCACAAATCATTCCAGATCCCTCAAAACAACAAGATTAAGGCTCCTGAAGGGACAACTGACAGATGAGCCAAGAATGCTTGTTTAGAGACTACAGAGGAAATCAAGAACCAGCTGACTTAGGTAAGCAAACCACTCACGAGAGACCATTCTTTGAAACAAGCCATTAAACAGAGAATGAAACAGCTGAGCTCCATTAGAATTCCTCCACTTCTTTCTCACTGGTAACATCTGGAATAGGTTCGCGAACCTCTGAACACACATAACTACACTACATGCTTATGGTACAATCCCTAAGCACCAAATATAATCAATCAAATATAACAGTCGTATTATGGTTGCTTTCCCCTACATTTTACTCTATTTATTAGTGCATTTATATCCCACCTTTCTGCCAAGGAAACCATGGGAAAGGAAATCCCCCCCCCATATTATCTTCATGACAACCCTATGAGCTAGATTAAGATTAGAGTTGGTGACTAGCCCAAGAGCACCCAGTGGACCTTATGGTCCAGCAAGGATTTGAATCCTAGTCTCTTCAGTCCTAGGTCAATACTAAACCACACGGGCTCTCAATGCTGTAGAGTAACAAAACATTTTAGAATTGTAGAGTTTGAAGGAACCCCAAGAGTCATCTAGTCTAACCCACTGCAATGCAGGAATCTCAACTAAAGCATCCATGACAGATGGCCCTCCAACCTCAGCTTAAAAACCTCCAATGAAGAAGAGCACACCACCTTCCGAGAGAGTCAGTTCCACTGTTGAACAGCTCTTACTGTCAGAAAGTTCTTCCTGATACTTGGTCTGAATCTCCTTTTTTGTAACTTGAAGCCATTGGTTTGGGTCTTGCTGTTCGGAGCAGGAGAAAACAAGTTTGCTCCATCTTTCATGTGATAGATATATGAAGATGGCTATAATATCTCCTCTCAGTCCTTTACCCAGGTTAAACATACTCAACTCCTCAACCATTCCTCATAAGGCCTGATTTCCAGACCCTTTATCATATTCATTGCCCCCCTCTGCACATGTTCCAGCTTGTCAATACTCTCCTTAAATTGTGGTACACCCAGAACTGGATACAGTACTCCTGGTGGTATGGTCCTGGTGGTGTGGTCTGACCAAGGCAGAATACAGCAATACCCTTACAGGACACTATATGCAGTCTAGAACAGCAATAGCTTTTTTTTGCTGTTGCATCACACTGTTGGCTCATGTTAGTTAAGCTTGTGATCCACTAAGACCCCTGGATCCTTTTCTGGCAAGCCAGATGTCCCCCCACATATTTGTGCAGCTGGTTCTCCCTACCTAACTGTAGAACCTTCTATTTTTCCTTAATGAAATTCATTTCATTACTTTGGACCCAGTTCTCCAATCTGTTAAGGTCACATTGAATCCCGATTCTGTCTTCTGCAGCATTGATTACCCCGCCCAGTTTGGTGTCATCTGCAACTTGGATGAGCATCCCCTCCACTCCTTCATTCAAGTCATTTATAAAGATGTTGAACAACAATGGACCCAGAACATGTGCCCAGCTAAATGGAAATAGAATGTACTAAGTCACTGTTACCTTAAAAATGCTGATGCATTGATGAAACACAAGTGTGCTGTGAAAAAGGAAGACAGCCATCTGTCACCCATATGAATACTGTAAAAATTGAGCAATGTACCTGTAGACGTCTTACATTTCCCTTCTGTAGATCGTGACAAAGGAGGCGGAGACAAGGACGGAGATCGCTGATCCCTTTTAGGTTGGAAAGGTTCCTTCATTCGTTTCACCACATCTTCAGAAAGCTAACACAATTTTAAAAGCAGAGAGAAAGAAAAAGAGAAACTAGTTGTATTATAGCAGGCACGTCCAACAGGTAGATCGTTATCTACCAGTAGATCACTGAACGTCTGTGGTAGATCACTGGTAGATCTGTGGCTCCTCCCAAAGAAGCTCAACAACTTTGACCTGAACCCCCCAAAAGTGGGTAGATCACTACCAGTTTTTAACTCTGAGTAGATTGCAGTCTTTTGGGAGTTGGCCATCCCTGTATTAGAATTTGGATGAATCCCCAAACTAACTGTTGGAGATCAAGAAATCATAATTCATGTGCTGCTGCCTTTATCTCTCTATCTATCTATCTATCTATCTATCTATCTATCTATCTATCATCTATCTCATGTCTGGAAATTACCAGCGATGCAACACCTTACCCTTAATAACAAAAGAATGACAAGTACTCTAGAGGAAAATAATTATTCACTAGTCAAAATTTTAGTTTGCTGTCTGCTGCTAATGGGCTGTTATGATGTGCAGGGTATATAGTGATTTAAAAACAGTCCTAATAAGGCAGATTATTTTGTTGTATTATTTTTCTGTAAGCTACCGTAAGTATACAGTACATTCCCCCAAAATACATTTAGGCATGAATAGGAAAGGGATTGCCTAGCAGGTATTAATTTGTCATTTTGACACTCCTCAGGCAATGCTGTAAGTGTAAAGTTACCATCTTTGAGAATGTCCCAAAAAAGGAACTGAATATGCTAGAAAATGATTTTCTAAAAATGATTTTTAGAATATATTTGGAATTCTAGCCCACCCTATTCCTAAGGGTCTACGCACATAAGGATAAAAATAGCAAGAGACAAGAATATCAAATAAACATATCGTGATTACAAATTATGTAATTTAATTTCATACAGATAGTATGAAATTAAAAAGAAAAACCTAATCCTTTTGCTGTAGATTACTTAGGCTTCTCTAATAGAAAGCAAGAACAGGATTATCAAATCGCCCTTCCCCAAATAAGGACTCTGCTGGATCAAGCCAATGACCCAGAAAGTCCAGCATCCTGTTCTCACAGTGGCCAACCAGATGCAGATGTCTGTGAGAAGCCTGCCAGTAGGACCTTTAGCTGTGGACGTGAGCATAGTCAGTATTTCTTTTAGGGGGCAGGCTTTACGTTGGGGGGGGGTAAAACTGAGTTATCTGCCATGCAATTCATCAGTTAGTTGAATATTTTATTTATTTACCTGATTGAGGGGCAGTTGCCTGGCTATGCCCATGGCTGTGGAGCCCGATCACAGCCATCATGGCTAGTAGCTATGGCTAGCCTTATTCTCCATTAATTTGTTTACTCCTCTTTTAAAGGCATTCAAGTTGGTGGCAATCATCCCTTCTATAGGAGTGAATTCCATAATTTAATGATGTGTTGCATGAAAAAGTACTTTTTTTGTTGGTCCTGAATCTTCCAACATTCTTCTTTTGTTGAGCTTTTGTTTCTTCTCTCTCTCTTTCCTCAGCTGTTTTCAATCCTTATCTGATCTCTGTTTTATACTCTTTAATCTACCACTTTGATTAGTCTTCATGACAGAACTGCTTGCAACAACCAAAGCTAAATCAATGCACCTTCTACAAGTTGCATACTGCCAAAAAGCTTTTTATATATATTTTTAAAGTTGCTTACTGTACTTGGGAAGCTGACGAGGCTTTTAAAAAAAAATCCCTTAGCTAGTAACTTTGTGATGGAGAGCAGATACTAATCAATTACAACTAATACAAATAATATTGCTTGAAACCTATCCAGTGTTTTATGAACACTTCCACACTTGAATTTGTAAACTTGCAATGTTTAATGACTTGCGGTTTGGTTCTTGTCATTCTGCACTCACAAGCAACAGAGTACTTGGGGCCTTGTAAAATGAAAAGATGCTTACGGTTACAGAGAAATTCCCTTGGATCGCCTCAATTATTCAAAACATACACAGAGATACAGTGGTACCTTGGTTTTCGAACGTCTCGGAAGTCAAACGTTTCGGTTTTCGTACGCTGAAAACCCCAAAGTAAATGCTGCTGTTTTTGAACGTGCCTTGGAAGTCGAGCAGCTTCTGGTGAGTTTTTTTCAATTTTCTCTACTGAATTTGCAGACAGCCCTTTGCGCCTCGGTTTTCAAACGTTTCATAACTCGAACGATCTTCCGGAATGGATTACAGTGGTACCTTGGGTTAAGAACTTAATTTGTTCTGGAGGTCCGTTCTTAACCTGAAGCACCACTTTAGCTAATGGGGCCTCCCACTGCTGCCGCGCCGCCACTGCGTGATTTCTGTTCTCATCCTGAAGCAAAGTTCTTAATCCGAGGTACTATTTCTGGGTTAGCGGAGTCTGTAACCTGAAGCGTCTGTAACCTGAAGCGTCTGTAACCTGAGGTACCACTGTATGTTCAAAAACTGAGGTACCACTGTACCACAATGTGAATTTTATACCAATTTGTTTTGCATAGTCCAGATGTCATACTCTGAGACTACACTTCTGTTGGCCATACTGCCATTCTCTAAGTTTGGATGCACATTAATAATAATAATATCAAATGAGCTTTCTATACAGAAGCTATTGAAGACTGTACTGTAACATGTCAGAACCCTTTTCTCCCACATACACATGATTTAATTGAGTTGACAGCTGTATGCATGCATCTGCAGTGCTGTTAAATGGCAAGGCTATCCCTACTTGCCTACAATTCCATATTGCTTTTATGAGCAGGAGTAGCATGCTCTTTTTCCTCAGCTGCCTCCTACATTCAACAAATTATACTGGGTTTGGACCTGGGTTCAAATCCCTTTTCACTCACTAACATGACAAGTAGCGGTCAACAAAATCATTCTCAAATTAAACGCCACATGCATAAAATGGGATTTTTTTTAAAAAAAACAACATACCTCACAAAACTGCTGCAAAGTTAAGTAAGAATTGGAAAGAAATTTGAGCACTTAAAACAACACTAGAAATCTTTATTAATAAAAATGCTACTAGGCCACAAGATGCTCTTCTGTTAAGAGTATTGCGATAATTGAAGACTAGCAGTTTTAAGAATGTAAGAAGAGCCCTACTGGATCAGATGAACATAAGGACCCAGGTGTCCAAAAGGGTTATTTATGTATGCTACTACGGTGGCCTGTGTTGTTAGCCCAAAAATGGAAAACAAGTGAGGTCCCAACCAAAGAAGAATGGCAACTTAAACTGATGGAATATGCACAGCTTGTGGATCTAACTTATAGAATAAGAGAAGAAGAACATTCGTTTAAAGAAGACTGGAAAATGTTTATTGAATACAGTGGTGCCTCGTAAGACGAAATTAATTCATTCTGCAAGTTTTTTCTTCTTGCGAGTTTTTCGTCTTGCGAAGCACGGTTTCCCATAGGAATGCATTGAAAATCAATCAATGCGTTCCTATGGAGACCGTCCGGGGACAGAAGGGAAGCGCGCGCGCCTTCCCCTCTGTCCCCGGAGATTGCGGGGCTGGCAATGGGGAGAAGTGATCTTCTCCCCGCCGCCCCTTGCTTCAAAAGAGGTCCGGGGACAGCGGGGAAGACGCGCTGCGCTTCCCCGCTATCCCCGGAGCTTGCGGGGCAAGCTTCGTTTTGCGAAGCAAGCCCATAGGGAAATGCGTCTTGCGAAGTGGCTAAGAAAACGAAAAACTCCTTCATCTAGCAAGTTTTTCGTCTTCCGAGGCGTTCGTCTTGCAGGGTACCACTGTATATGGGGGCGAATTGTGTACACTTGAAAACACTGGCAGCCTTACGATAATTTGAACAGTATAAATAAGTTTTGATGGAAGTAATAATAGAATACTGAACGGTCTAGTTTATATAAAATATGCGGGGATTTATGCTATGCAAAATGAACCATGGTAAGAGAAAATATAAATGACTTCCCTTCTTAAGGTTTAAATGTATATTCTAAATTGTAAAACAGAATATATATATATATATATATATATATATATATATATGGCAGATATAAGGAAAGCCACGCTGGGTCAGACCAGAGGCCCACCCCATCCAGGATCCTGTTCTCAGAGTGGCCAGCCAAAAACTTATGGGAAGCCCACATGCACACTCTCTTCGCTTGGGTTCCCCAGCAACTGATATTCATGGGCCTATTAAACGTGTCACATTAAATGAGACGTGGGCTTTAAGAAGAAATGTAGGTGGACACCTTCAGGAAAGCGGGAGTATGTTTTCCCTACCAAACACACTTTATAACCTTGGGAACCATTAGCACTCAATCCAGAGTAGCCCATGACCCCTAGATCCCGTGTCCCTGCTCCCCAGAGACATCCTCTCAGTACCCCCACCACCCCCTGGACTTGCCTAGTCCCCCCGCCCCGTCCCCTCCCCCTCCTCCCCCCAGCCCTTTACCAGGCAGGCGCCCGCCACCCTGCGCTCGCCCTCCTACTCACCCGGATGCCCTGCAGGACTCGCACTCGCTCCTGCTCATCCATCTCGAAGGAGACCTTCCTATTGCCATGGCTACTCCCGCCACCCCCCATAGCAACAGCAGGAATAACCACCGCGGGCGGGAAAACCAATTCCCTCGGCTTCCTCCCGACCCGGGATGGGGCAGAAAAGAACAAGATGTACACACAGACGGAACACACCGCTCTACCAAGCTACAAGCCCGCGTCTGGTTGGCGGCTGTCGGCGAAGGAGCCAATGGCAAGGCGCGGTGTTGGAGGCGGGCGCAAAGCACGCTGGGAATTGTGGTCTTCCTTATCCAAATGCTGCCGGCCGAGGATGCTGCTTACCGGCCGAAGGTGGGATGCAATGGGTCGGGAAGGCAGGAGGTTTTTTTGCGTCCTGCGACAGCACGCGATGGCCTCACCTGGGACCTTGGGCCTCTTTTAGCTAATAGGCGCCACTTTCATTACAGAGATGCAGTTTAGTCCATTAATTTTAGAAACCCCTTAAACACAGGGTTGTGTTGGGGTTTTTTTTAGGATGGCGGCAGGCTTACTGCTAATCAAGATTGATCCATTGCCCTTGCCACTTCTGTATTCTTACTTGCCCATGGCATTTTGCACGCGGTTTCAACTGTGATGAATGATAGGTTTTGGGATGCGCAGAATTTTAATTTTTCGAGCGTCGATTCCTAGCAAGGAGCATAGTTGACAGCTTCTCTCTGAAACTACAACTCTGGAATATGCACATTTGCTTGGTTGGTGGACTGAGTAAGCCCACTAAACACAAGGGTACGTACTTATGTAAACGTGCTTAGGATCAAGCTGCCCTAGAACATTGTATGAAGTTAGTTGCTGACTAGATTTTATTGCTATTTATTTATTGCTATTTTGGATTGTGAGAATTCACAAATAGCAGACCAGACTACTTTTCAAACTTCAAGTACAGCGCAGTGGTTTAAGTTTTGTTTTTAATATTTCTTTTCAGGAGTTATAATAATAATAAGGTAAAGGTAAAGGTACCCCTGCCCGTACAGGCCAGTCTTGACAGACTCTAGGGTTGTGCATCCATCTCACTTAAGAGGCCAGCGCTGTCCGGAGACACTTTCCGGGTCACGTGGCCAGCGTGACAAAGCTGCATCTGGCGAGCCAGCGCAGCACACGGAAACGCCGTTTACCTTCCCGCCAGTAAGCGGTCCCTATTTATCTACTTGCACCCGGGGGTGCTTTCGAACTGCTAGGTTGGCAGGCGCTGGGACCGAACAACGGGAGCGCACCCCGCCGCGGGGATTCGAACCGCCGACCTTTCAATTGGCAAGCCCTAGGCGCTGAGGCTTTTACCCACAGTGCCACCCACGTCCCTATAATAATAATACCAGGACTAAATTATTTTCTAATTCCCTCTTGTGGTATGATCCCTAATCATTAAGCCAGAAGCATAATTAGGGCTATATAAGCCTTAAAATCATCTGGTTTAGATGTGGCCAAGTAAGTGTGGTTTTTCTCAACCTATCTGAAGCTAGTTCCACTGAAATATTTGGGACAGCTCCGTAAGTCTGTTTTTAAAGCTGAGAGTTCCATTAAAAAGAAAAAAGGGGTGGAAGGAATGGGAGTAAGATCTGGAGAGAAGAAAGAAGGGGAGCTGCTATCGAGCACACAATATTAAATTCAGTGTAGCAAAGTACTTACAGGGGGAAAATATCAAAATCCTGTGAGATTTATAGTGGCTGCATTTATGAATGAAAAAATGACTGGTGAGTAAAGTAATGGGGGGGTGGAACTCTTACTAAAAATTGCAATCTCTCATTCAAAGGTGATTTTCTTTTTCAAAAAGCAGGTTGGGTCAGGGCTTTGTTCCATGCAACGCAGCCTCAACTGTCTTGGAACTGGATACAACTGCACAGAACATCAGTGTTTCTAGCACTGAACATATGAAGCACAAATGCACATCTCTAAAGTGATTCCCCAGCAGAATCCAGCAGCTGGGCTGCTTTCACCTAAATGTATGTTCCTAATAACAGGTATTATCATTTCTGTAAGTACATCAGCCTGCAGCCAACCAAACAATTGACTGTAATAACTTGATATGTCTGCTTTGGCCTAATGCGGGCTGGTATTTTATTTTTTTCTGTAAGTAGATTTTAATCTAATTTTAATGTATTTTTGTACACCCCCTCGCTATATTTACGTGAAAGGCATTTATTTTAATAAATAAGAATTTTCTCATTGATTTTTATTTTGTCGGAGTAGATCCACTGAAGTTAATAAACCTAAATTACTTGTGTCCATTCATTTGCATGTGTTTACTCCGATTAGGGCTAGCAGTGCAATATGTGAGTCATTTTGGTAAGTGAGCAAAGGAGACTTATTGGGAGCAAGAATAGGCTTCTGCTTAAATGCATAATTTTTGTTGGGGAAAAACCTGAGGTTATTCTTATAATTGTTGAGCTTCCCAGACATTTAATAATTTATGCCAAAAAGGGGACTGCCAGACTTTCTTTTGTTTTTGGGTGGGACACAATCACATAGTGAAATCAGGTTGCATAATTAAAATGAATTTGGCACATAACAATGCAGTGGAAAGTGTGGGATAATATTTCCCTGACACAGTGTCATCTAGCCTCCCTGCAAATTTTGTGCAAACAATCAGGACGAATGCTCAATACACAGGTTGTCAAGTGAAAGGGGAAATTAAAATGGGCTCATAAAGTTTGGAGACTGTAAAATTAGCTGTAGATGTCTATGTTGAGATAAGCCTGGAGGAGGAAAAACTGCCTGTTCCAGACAAAATAATTGTAATGTTTTTGTCATCATACAGAGTGCGGGGAGGGAAGGCAGGCTACCGTCATGTAGCTGATGCCACCCACCCTAGGTACCCTTCCCTCCTAGGAAACAATAAAGGAAAACACACTTATAATTGCACCAACAAAAGCAATTAATGATAAGTGAACTTTCAAAATATAAGGTGCATCCAAATCACAAATATTTTGTTGATATGCTATGATGAAGGCGGGCAGATGCCAATACAAAATAATAGAACAGTTGTTATCTATTTAAAAACATGAAACAGCTAATTGTAGGCTCGGGAAGTTTTTTTTGAAAAAAAATCTGTAAAGGGACTTTGGCATGCATTACCATAGCAACCACAATAAAGAAATCCTCCAGTGTTTATTAAACACGAAAAGCATAATAAAATACAATTATTTTAATCCAACATTTTAAAAGGCTATCCATTCCACCCAGGGCACATTGATTTCAATCAGCAAGAGAAAAGCCCAGTTTAAATGACAGGTTTAAATCATGTTTCCACATAAAAATGAATGCTGTGTTTTCAGAACAAGGAAGCTTGCCGGCTGGTTGCTAGAACAATTAAAACACATCCGGTTTGCAACTAATTAAGGTCTTTATACTACCTAGAAGCACACTTCACGCGCCTATTGCAGTAAAGAATTATATCCGCTTGCAGGCAAGGGAGTCCTTGTGAAATTAATTTCTCTCCGTCTTTCAATCCCTCTGTACAAATGCAGAGTCACAAAGCAAATTACTAACTTGAAGACAAGCCAAAGGAGTATTTACTCAACAAGGGTTTAGGATTTCCCTCCTCCCCTCAAACAGACCCTCAATGCCTCATAGCAAACTGTTTTCGAGACTGAAGGGAATTTCAAAACTCATTTCATAGAGATCCCGTGTTCAATTCCAGGCAACTTTGAGTAGGACTGGGAATGTCCCCTTCCTGAAACCCTGAGAAGTCGCTGCTAATCAATGTGGCCAATATAATACTGACCTCAATGTCTCCTCCTTGGTGGAGGCAGCACTTCAAAGCATGCGGGTGAAATCAAGATATCCTTTTGGTTTAGCTCAGGGTTTCCCAAGTTTGGGTCTCCAGCTATTTTCAGACTGCAATTCCCATTATCCGTGACGGTTGATAGGAGTTGTAGTCCAAAAACATCTGAAGACCCAGGTTTGGGAAATCCTGGTTTAGCTCAAGAGGCCTACGCAAAACTTTAGATTTGGGACTTTGAGCCCAGAACTTTCCAAAAGCAGATATTGATTGTTGCTGCCTAGTAATTACCCCTACATGAAATGGAAAAAAAATCCTGTCCTTTTGGTCAATCGTACATTTTTTTAATATAAATGTCTCCCATAATAAAAGACTGTTCTGTTGGATCATATATAATGGAACACCTGAGTGGTGCTGCCAGGAGCTTAAAAAATCCGGCGCATGGGCATATCACCAGATTTAAATGAATTTATTTAGGTGTATAGCTACGGATTTAGAATATGGATGTCCAAAGCAGCAAGCCAACTAATTTCCCATCTAAATCACCTTTGATAAATTCTATAATTTGTATCCTTCCCCTAATCAGTTCCTTTTCAATTCAGCAGTGCCCAGCTAATTTTCCAACAGATCTTGTTTCAAATCAGTTCAGTGCCCCTCTTCAGGTAACTGAATTCATTACCCCTAATCTTATTTCAAAAAATTCACCTTGATTTATTCCCCCAAATAATCTACCAAGTAGTTCATGGGCATATCACCACAGATTTCACCTCTCAGTTCAATTTTCCCCAAATTGCCTGAGAAGCACTCAGGCAACTCAAAACTTGATTCAGGGCCCCCACTCCATGGGCACCTCCAAAAAGCACAATCCTTTTTTCCAGCTCCAAACATGGTGTAGGGCAGAGATAATTCCTGGGATAGCACAATTGGTGCTCCATGTGCTTCAGAAGCACAGCATGAGAACAAGTTCTAACCTTAGCCAGTGTGGTGTAGTGGTTAAGAGCAGTGAACTCATAATCTGGTGAACTGGGTTTGCTTCCCCACTCCTCCACATGCAGCTGCTGGGTGACCTTGGGCTAGTCACACTTCTCTGAAGTCTCTCAGCCTCACTCACCTCACAGAGTGTTTGTGGTGGGGGAGGAAGGGAAAGGAGATTGTTAGCCGCTTTGAGACTCCTTGGGGTAGTGATAAAGCGAAATATCAAATCCAAACTCTTCTTCTTCTTATCTCTAGGACAGGCTTGCAAGAGGGGGTGGAAGGGCAGAATACTGGCTATGAGTGTGACAAGTGGGACTGTGGACCCCCAATTTACACCAAGCCCCGATTAATGCATTGTTTCTGGATGATGTAATGTCATCACATCAACCTGCTGAGAGCTTGGATACCATTCCTGATAAAAACCACCAAAAACTGGCATTTGCTCTGACCTGCCACTGAATTCACACTCAGCAAATGTAATTCATGTGATTTATGGAGGTACGGTTATAGTCAAATCAATGGGTTCTATTTCAGTAAATAGCAGTGGCAACACTGTTTTATTCCAATAGTCATAGGAGAGCAACAAAGAGCAAACCTGAAGGCTACAAAAAAAAAAAAGCCAAGATACATCTTGGAGCTACAAATAAAGGAGGTACCATAACTTTATTAATAATTATAATAATTTCTAAAATTTACTTCCTTACAAATCATCCTTCAAAGTCAACAACTTCAACCAGGTGACTTAACAGCAAAATCCTATACCTGCCTACTCAGAAGTAAGGTAAGTGGGTGTAAGACTGCTACCTCAGTTATGCTGAACTACCTGGGGGGGGGATCCTTATCACTTCTGCTCTTCTAAGACCTAGCCAGGTAAAGGAAAAAAACGCACAACAGTTATTTGCTTTCCCTCAGAATCTGAGCATTTCGTTATGGATCAGGTTCTTCTTTTACTCTGAAGAAAACAAATAGTGCAAAAATGTAAGAACACATATACACAGCCTCTGTCGTGAGAGAAAGGATACCTTAATTTATGTCAAAGTTCATTTATTTTACAGACAAAAATATACATTACTCTATTTTTAATCTCTGTTCCAACATCACATGGTACATGCCGTGTGTACACACCCAGGGACACACAAACATTTGTCTGCTCATGGACAATACTGTGTGCTCAACAGGGAGGCTTTTTTTTATACACACACACATAGATCACAAGGCTTGTAAGGAGGCAGTTCCTTCACTTAGTGCAGATACTCCTCAGCAGCAAAGTACAATGCAGGTTGTACAGAGGAGGTGCTTAAAATGTCAGTGAAAAGGGGGCAGGGACCATTCTGTCATGGAAGATCTGATCACAGCTCACTGACTGGCCCGCATTTGATATAGATTGATAATACAGTAAACACAGTAACTCCAATACCACCTCATCCTGATTCACATCACAAAGGAGCCCATGTTCAGGTGTTTTTTTAATTTGATGGACTAGGTGTACAGCACACTTTTTAAACGAAACTGTAGGGGATCCATGGAAATTACAAGACACGTTCGTTTCCAAGGGTCCCTACTTTGGCTGGCTAGCAGTATTTAACCATCATGCAGAGAGCATCTATAATTCCAGCTGAGTAAATATTTTTGGGGGGAGGGCAGCATTAATTGTATGACATCTTATATGACATCTTCGCCAGCATTTGCCCTGCAGCCAATTGGGATTGCCTTTCTCGCCTTTCACAGAAAGCAAAGAAGCTAGAGCACCAGCCAAGCATGTTATTTCGATAGATTAGATAACATTAAGGTCACATCACAGCTCCCACGACTGCCTCTTTGTCGAATTTGGGGCATCGTATGTTGGGGTATGACTAGCGCCATAAGCATTACGGAAGCCTAAACTACACTGCCTGTGTCATCAAATTCAAACAACACTCAGAAAAGGCTAACCTGGGCGGTAGACAAAAACTAAAGGCAAAGTGCGGGTCTCTACCACAACAATTCTTGATCTGCATTCACAACTCATCCAAAACAGAGATATAATTAAACATGTATTTCTTAAAAAGTAGTTTTAAAAGTCTTAAAAGTGAAGTCAAGGATCTTGTTGCCTTTTAAATCCTGATGTGGCTCGGCAGCAGAAAAATCACAAACAGCGCAAGTTTCAAGCCATGAGGAGGAAGGGATGTTTTATCAACAAGAAGAAAGCCGAGTAGTTTTTCTTGCTTGCACCTCCATTCTAGAGAGGTTTACTTGAAAGCATGTCCTATTAATTCCAAAGCAACTTTCCTCCAAGGATGTGTGCTTATATGCCTTGATCATCTGCACCTTGCACATTGGGTGCTAAAATTAATCCCAAAATGGTAGCAGCAAATGAAAGTAAAGAAACCTCATTTTTCAGGTGTTCTTGCTTTCTCAGCCTTAGAATTTGGGATTGTATTGACTGTAACTACATTTGCCTCCTGGATCAACCTCTGTTCAAGCAAATGTTCCAGCATTTTGCACAAGGGTAAGTGTTCCCATTTTTGCATTTAGTAATAAAAACATGAAAATGAGAAAACATTGATTCCAATATAAGCTATGCACACAAAATGTGCATGCTTCAAAAGCAGTTTTTATCATTTTCCAATTCTCCCATTTTGTCTTACAAGGTGAAGCCAACTTCCTGCATTAGAATGGGTCTGCCTCCTGCAAAGAACACCCTCACCATTCCTAAAGGATATACCAGGCATAGGTAAACTCAGCCCTCCGGATGTTTTGGGACTACAACTCCCATCATCCCTAGCTAACAGGACCAGTGGGTCAGGGATGATAGGAGTTGTAGTCCCAAAACATCTGGAGGGCTGAGTTTACCTATGCCTGGGATAAACCTCCTTCACTGCTGATCTTGGAAGACCCTGAAGATCAGCTACCACTACCACTGTCAGGGGAAAGCCAGCTATGTCTTTGGCGTGACGCTCTCTTCAGTGCAGAAAAGATGAATGAACCTCATGCTAAGTTCAAGGAAGTATCACCTGGTCTTAAAGGTATACTGGACAGAGCTTGAATCCAAGGGACAGAGTCCAACAGCCCTCCTTCACACTAGACATCCAACCCTGTTTTCCACTTTGGTGCCATCCCAAGCATCACTCACAATTTCTCACACACAGACTACCAGATCATTTCCCATTCATCTTCTGCCTTGTCCTATCCCATGGACCAGTTTTTTGGAACTGCCCATTTGAACCACAGTTCTCAACACCCCTCCTCCACTGCTCCTTAGGACCCATTTACTCTGGAGTTCTGCTACTATCACATAAGCAGATCCTCATTCTATAAGCTCTTTGCTTGGCTAAGTTTTCATTCTAAAAACTCAGACCATATACAGTGTATGCAACTCACAGCTCCTTCTCAGCCAGTCACAGTAGTTTAGTTGCACAGCAACAAGTTCCACCAAAGCATTTCCCAGCTGCCTACTTTCCTGCCCTCTTCTTCGAAAGTCAGCATATATATATATATATTACAATGCACACACCAACACACAAGCGCACACCTGCTCCCAGATTCCCTGCGAAGAATTCTGGAAACATTTAGCAGTTCATTCTTAAGTGTTCTTTCTATCAGGAAGCCTGTGGAGGTCTCTCGCCCTATAATTCCCACCAAACTGCAGCTGTTGAAGGCATGGGGAGCAGTCCCACCTTCCTCTAGTTCCTCCAGTTCTCGGAAGCCAAAACATAAAATAAAAATAGAATGCAAATAATGTATTATATAGCTATCTATATATAATGCTATACAAGAGCAGCCAAGACTTCCTAGCTGCATGTGTGGCTTATCACCAAGAAAACGTTGCAGTCATATCCAACCATGTGCACATGGAACGCTCAAGGACGCAAAGATTCAGCATTTAGAAGCTGATCTGGTTTGTTCTCCTACAAAGGTAAGAGCTATTGTCCTGGGAAGACTGATTTTTATGCTCCGTTCAAGATTTAATTTTTTTAAAAAAAAGAAAAAAACTTGAAGGAAAGAGAAGGCGACACACTGAAGCGCCCCAAAAGGGGAACTGGCGATGGAGCTGCAAGGCTGCAAGAGAGACCCATCTTTCCAAAGGATCGCCTTTAGGAGTTGATGGCTTTCCAGCGGTCACTGTCAATGCTGTTGATGCTGCCCACGTGGTAAGGCATGGAAGCAATGTCATCCAAGTACGCTGCAGTGTCGATCTGAGTGCTGGAGTAAAAGCTGGAATCCAGGCCTTCTTTCTTGGCCACACCATAGGCATGCGGGAGGTGCACATCAACGTCCTCGGGCTCATCCACCTGGCATTTGTAGGAGAAGAGGATCTTTGGCTCGGACCTGGAAATTATTAAAGAGGCAAGGAGAATTTTTTTCAAACGAGTTACCGTACTTTCTTGAAACACCAGGAAGCTGCCTGATACCGAGTCAGAACACTGGTCCGCGTAGCTCAATACTGTCTGCACTGAAACCTCCTGCGTGCACAGGAGATGCTTTGCTCCAAGCACAACTCCCTCCATCCCATTTCCCAGTAAAGAAGGTTCAATTCAGAACAGGGCAGACGGTTCCCGAAATAAAAAGCAGCCAACAATGCTGTTCTTTTAGTTCAGGCCATTCAGGCCATCATCTGGAGGAAACCGGAACTAAACGTAGCCCAAGATATACTGTCATGTTTGTCTATCATTGGCCTTTACCTCTTCCCTTTGTTCTCTTACCCTATCCTGCACTGCCTGACCTTGGATTGAAAACTCTGTGGATTAAGACCCAACCTTTTGCTTTGCTTCATTCACAATGATGGGACTCAAAAGAATAAAAGCAGGGCAAGTAAGAACAGCAAGAGCCACTGTGTTCAAAAATTAGCCATGACACCTAAATGCTTTTGGGAGGTGTGGAAGGTAGGTATGGGGGCTTGTGTGTGTGTGTGTCTCATTCATTATCTCTCTCATATATACAGTGCTTTTTTTCTTTTAAAAAAATGTTTAGGGGTACTCTCATTTTGACCCAAGAAAATCACCATTTATAGTTCAAATCGGGGGAAATAAATATAGTAAATGGACAAAAGTACAAAGATTCACAAAATGTTTAGGGGTATGCGTACCCCTGCATCTCCCCAGAAAAAAGCACTGCGTATATATCTACACACACACACACACACACACGGTCAGTTCCATTTGGAATCAGTGATGAAGGAAGTTAGAAATAAAACAAGTCATTTTTGAGCATGCACAATTTGATATTGGCATTTGGGAGACTATTTGTTTACTGCTTGTTATAGCTTTGCTGCTTTTATATCAAATATAAAATGTGAGGTGGCTAGTTCCTCACAATTACGGTTGAAATCCATCTGAATTAATTGCAGCAACTGTTCCTCAATTAGAATGGGTATTTCCACTGCATGGCCACACGGTGGCACTCAAAGCTGAAAAAATTACATAGTCAGAACAGTAACAAGGGAAGTGGTTACTCAAAAGGAATGCAACTCCTGAGCTGCAAATTTAGGCCAGCCTCCCCCAACCTGGTGCCCTTCAGATGTTTTGAACTACAACCCCGTCAGCATATCCTATGGTCAGGGAAGATGGGAACTGTAGTCCAATAACATCTGGATGGCAATAGGTTCAGGAAGGCTGGTTTACACGCTTTGCTCAACTGCTGGACAATCTATTTAAGCCCCTTCTTAAAACTCAAGAGCATTAAAGGGGGGGGGAACCTATCTACCTAATACAAGCTTGGCCTCCACAGCATTTCACATTAATCATTTTGTCACTAATCCAGAAAAAAACTCTAACAGTAGCTCAGAATTTAATGAGGCTTTGCGCAGATATTAGGAGTCTAATCTTCCCGAATCCCTGTGATGAAGTCAAATACCATCTTCATTTCACAGATGGAAGAACAAGAGTCACTGAATTGATTTTTTTAAAAAAACAAATCATAACGAAGCACACAGAGAGAATGTGTGGAAGAGTTAGCCTCTTTGTAGGCCTCACCTGAGACCACCCATTTCTGAATCTTTCTGGCCTAGCTGTGAGGAGAACCAGCCTACTGCCTTGTTGCACTTTATACCATTTTATACTTTTACTGCCATTTTACTTCTATTTTAATTATGTTATTAATCCTGAAGGTCACCCTGGGCATTTTTGTTGTGGTTACTTACTGTTTATTTAAAAGGCTGAAGTTTGTTTTGCTATTAAATAATTGCATTAATATCCCAGTGGGAGGCAAGTATTGTGCTTCAACGTGACCTTTGCTAGCAACGCCTGCATGATTTAAAGCTCTGAAATGCTCTCCGTAGGGAGGCCCGCCTAGCACTTATATTGATGTTCTTTCAACGCCAGGCCCTTTTGTTTTCTCACACTTTAACTAATAGTCTCAATCTGCTGTTCTAGAATTGTTGCTCTTGTCCATCTTAAAACTTTTTCTTATTATTGTTGTTGTAAAATGCCCTGGGACTGTGCTGCAGGCTACAACCTTGGATGCTCACCCAAAGAAACTTTTCAGGAACGCCACATAAATGAGCGGAGCAAAGAAGCTGAAATAGAGGAAGGTGGTGGCATCGACACAGCTGTCAAGACAGAAGAGAGAGACACAAGTCATTAGAAATCTGTTCCTGGCCAATTCAGATGTTTTTGGACTACGGTTTCCTATCATCATTATTATATAATAATAATTATATGTATTATATAATAAATATAATTATATAATAATTATTAATACATTTTCTACACTGCTTAATATATACAGTCGTACCTTGATTATTAAACGGAATCTGTTCCGGAAGTACGTTCGGCTTCTGAAAACGTTCAACAACCAAGGAGAGGCTTCCGATTGGCTGCAGGAGTTTCCTGCACTCAATTGGAAGCCATGGAAGCCGGCACTGGATGTTCGGCTTCCAAAAAACGTTTGCAAACTAAAACACTCAATTCAGGGTTTGCGGCGTTCGGGCGCCAAAATGGACGAGTACCAAGGCATTCAACAACCAAGGTACGACTGTATCTATATTCACTCAAATGTAACGCGGACCTTTCTTGGCCAAATTACATTGCGAAAATTAGATTTGATGCGCACTAGATTTGATGGCGCCAGCAAATACTTTGTTGGTTTCATTTTTGAAAATTGAGGTGCACGTTAGAGTCAATGGTGCATTAGAATCACACAAATATGGTGAATAATCTCTCTAAGCAGTGTACAGAAAACTAAAAACAAATGTTACAAAAATGTGCAATACAATCATTAATGCAGACTTACTAATAAACATATATAGATATCAGTTCCTTCTCCTTCTGACACATCTCCTCACTCCTCTCAGTCTCCTGGCTCTTACCCAAGACTCCCCCCATCCTCTCTGGTTCTCACCCAGGGCCCAAACAAACTCACAGGCGAACCCCAAAATCTCCCAACAAAGAGTTCCTGGAACCTGCTGACAACACCCTAGTCTCTCACTCCAGGGGCTCATCCAGACTTCCTTTTGCACTGCATTTCTCAGCACAGGTCTGTGCTTTAAGGCATCGTGTCTGAGTGCTTTTTCTTTCTGCCCTTTTATGAGCCTTTTCTCTTTCCATCCTTTGGACCCCCTGGGAAGTACTTTCCCCTGAAAACCTGCTTTTTTTCTGTCCAGCCTTGGTGCCAATGGATTAAGCTTCCTCAAGCTGCCCACAGCTGTATCCCCATTCGGCTGCTCTTCACACACACCCAGTTCCCAGCTACAGCAGGTTTGGTCTGGTGAACATCGCAGGGGGTCCAAAGCAGGCATAGGCAAACTCCAGCCCTCCAGATGTTTGGGACTACAACTCCCATCATCCCTAGCTAACAGGACCAGTGGGCAGGGATGATGGGAATTGCAGTCCCAAACATCTGGGGGGGGCGGAGTTTGCCTATGCCTGCTCCAAAGGATGGCGGACAGGACACTCCATCCATTTGCACTTCTTTCCTTGGTCTCTGCACACCTCTTCTCTTCCGGCTGCATTACTGTCCTATGGCAGGGCTTGCTTTTATGGTTGATGGGGCTTCCTCAGGTTGCCCATGCAGCTGTGTCCCTTGGTGGGAAGGCACCAAGGTTGACAGAACTTCCTTCTATACAAGGACCCATAGTTATCATTCTCAAAAGGGAACAGGGAAAGTTAGAATGTACTCACCACCAAGAAAAGCAGTTCCCTACCCCACCCCAAAAGCTGTTCCTCCCTGGAGTAGAAGGCCCAGTGTTGCCAAGCAGAATGCTACTCTGAGCAACTGTGTCCTCAAAAGAAAAGGATCAAAAGCAGGGAAAGAGATATAGGAAATAAGGCCAAAGAGTTGGACCAGGACAACCATTCCCAATTTGCTAAGCAGAATGCACCCCCTCCCTGCTGTCTTCCCCATTGGAGAGGGGAAATGTCAGGAGATAGGCTTTGAGTGGGTATTTCTCAAGGAGTAATGAGATCACCAGTCTCAGGTGGAACATCCAGAAAGGCATCTGGAGGCAGATGTGGTACAATGGGGAACACAGCATGATGGGTGCAGTGGAGCTGCAAATTCAGCAGCCGTCAACAGCAGCACCCCTTAGCAAGTTTGCTTTGGTTCAAATGCATTGGAAGCTCTTTGTGCTTCCTTCTCAAAGGACTCAGTGACAGCACCAGGAAGAAGTTGAGCAGAGCTATCCAGCCACAGGGATACGTACCATAGTCCTTCTATGATACCTGCACAGAGCAGACCACTGCCAATGCCCTGCACCAGGTTCAGCACAGCGAGAATCCCAGCATAGATGTAGAAACTCTTCCTTGCTGAAAGAGAGAGGCAAAAGCACTGGGGTCAAATGTAATCACAGGTACTTCCTACACTACAAACCATTTGGTGGAAAAGCCACTTTGGAGACCCGGAAAAAAAACGGTATTACAGGGAGAAGAAATATGCCCCAGAGCTACTTATTGCAGAACAGTCTCCAGCGATGGCCATTCCACCTAGCCGTTATGTAACTTAAGCAAACCCTCCACTCTCCCTTCTTCCTAACAGGTGCCTCTTACAGGGGTGGGGAACCTTTTTCAGGCTGAGGGCCAAATTTCCTTCCGCACAACTTTCCAGGCGCAGGCTGGAACTAGAGGCAAAGCGGGCAGAGCAGCTAATGTAAATCTCCCATAGGACAGTTTCTAGACACACCGTCACACGTCCCTCTGTCCTCTATATAGGCATTATCAGAATTCAAGGGCAAATTCCAGCCAGGCAAAAACAAGGCGGTGCAAAACAGGGCTGGTGAAAGGTGTGGTTGGAGGGTGGGCGTGGCCAGAGAAGAATCCTGAGGGCCAGAGAGAGAAGCCTGGAGGGCCGCATTTGGCCCCTAGGCATGGGTTTCCCCACCCCAGTCATAAGCTGTTGAATTCACTCCCACCATATGTAGAGAGGGTCACCAACCTGGATGACTTTAAAAAGGGGACTGGACAAATTCATGGAGGATATGGCTATCCATGGCTATGAGTCAGGATGGCTACGTTGCAGATCCACTCTTGGAGGAGGTATGCCTCTGAATAGGGCGAGAGGAGTTGCACTTGCTGTCCTCTCAGGGGAAATAGGCTGCTGACCATCAATCCCACAAAACCTCTTTGTGGGAATGAATTCCACAGCTTAACTATGTGAAGAAGGACTTTCTTTTGCCTATCTGGAATATTCCAAGTGGCTTGGCTTTTAATGCCTGTGAGAAAATTGTATTAGTTTGAAAGGGAGAGGCAAGTCACTTACAAGGCAGGGAAATACGATCTTTCAAGGGAGTTTTGGGAAGCATCACCACCATTGAATAAACCTGTTAAGGAAGAAAGCAGTTCGTGAGTTGCTGAGGGCAGGTGGTGGAAAACAGTAACGACCCTGACTTTCGTTGCTGTGTTTAGAAGATGCCAGGAAGCACATTGAAATGAAGAGAATGAAAAATCATCAAGGAAGAACCGCCAGTGTTTTAAACTCACGGTATTCAGATCAAGCAAGACAGATATTTATCACACTTACCAGAAAGAAGAAACAAGAGCTTGCAAGCCAAAAGTGCCTTCCTCCATGACCATAGATATTGAAGTCTTCTGCAGAGAGCCTGGCGTCAGGATAACTGATCTCCAAAGTTCCCTGAAAGAATGGTGGGGAACAGTGCAAGGGGGTCATCAGGGCATGAACCGCTTACAATGGTGCCTGTGTTTCCTGCATGGGAAGCTGAGGAAAAGGCACTCGGTCTCACTTGGAAGCCAGCCCTTTCCGTCATCACACAACAAGATCCCCTATCCAGTCCATAAACTGTGATTTAGCAGAGGATAACAAATTGACCTAACTGCAGGAGGAAAGATGTGCCAGATGGTCTCGGGATTTAGCTCTGAGCCTGAGAGTGGAGGCAGGTTACAAAAAAATGACACCTTTCCTCCTCTAGCGACCTCCTGCCAACCTACTGGTGCTATCCCTATCCCTCCCCACATGCTTAATGCCTGACCTAAAACTTCTGCCAACTACCCTTTTGATCTACATGGTTCCTCCCACATCCCAATGCACTACACTTCCAACAGCAGCCCGTTATGTCCAAAGGCATAGCTGAGAGATCAGCAACCTTTGGTGCCTCATTTCCTTGAGTTTTTCTACCTCAAACTGACCATTATAAGAACTTGTAACTAAGAACTTGTACTTGAGTTTGCTTATTTCTTTCCGCAGGGCCTGTAAGACAAGAGTTGTTCCGCCTGGCCTTTGGGCTTGGAGTCAATTTGATTCCCTCCCCCTCTTTCTTCTTTCCTTTCTCCTCCTGTGATGAGGCTGCATTTTAATGTTTTCATGTTGTGTTTTAATCTTGTTTTTAAGTTGTATTCATTCAACTTGTTTTTATTATTGGTTGTTAGCCGCCCTGAGTCCTGCCTTGTCTGGGGAGGGCGGGGTATAAATAAATTTTATTATTATTATTATTTCCTCATCCCTCCCAACCCATTTTCCTTTTGCGTTGTGCCTTTTCAGATTGTAAGTCTGAGGGAAGGGACTGTCTTCACAAGCTGCTCTAGGAGCCTTTTTTGCCTGAAGAGCGGGTTTAAAACCAACCAACCAATGTGTAAATAAATACATAGCAAAACTCACATGCATAAGTTCACTGCATCTGATTTTTTAAGAAGATGCCTGAAACGTGGACAGTGATGTTCCTGTTTAATACTGGGGCTTCCCAAACCAAAACAAGGCATAATGCTACCACTATAGAAAAGGAGAACATGCTTAAACTTAACAATGCTGCACTGTTCAGAGTGAGTTACTACACAGAGCTGTTAAAAGTAACTCAGAACCTCTTGAGGAGCAGCTGCTTTCAGTTCAGGAGGAAACAGTTGAATTGAATTTGCCTTACTCTGTGCAACTGTCCTGTTTCACCAACACTTACCTGGGTGACAGAGTAGGCCAATGACAGCACCGTGGTGATAGCCAATACCCGCTTAACACTGGATTTGCTCTCCAAACGACCTGAATGGGGTGGGAAACATACCAGGGGTCATTTCTTTGACAAGTGAAAATGGCTGGTCTTCTGTCAGGTGACTAAAGGCTAGAAATATACTTGCCTGCTCCTGACCAACCTATGCATGCTCGGGGATGCCGTTAGGAGTTAACCAGCGTAAAAGACCCATCATGCAACAGGCCATGTGCATCTAAGATTCTGCTGTAAACCTTGAGGTTATTGATGTCAGACCAGACATCCTGGGCGAAAATCTGATGCACTGACTCAAGACCTCATATAGGGGTCTCACCTATGTTCAAGGTCCTGCCTAATGCCTTTCCTGTCCAAGTTGCGACAGACTAACAAAGCCAGATTTCTTTTAAGAGAAAGGCAAAACCTCTTGACTGAGGTTGCAGTTGAGAGTAAAACTAGAAACCACTTAAAATATGGTGCACCATAGAAGGTGGGCTGGGAAGCTTAAAGAAAGAAATAGTCCCAGTCTGAGAAACAGTGGCTGCTTTGCATGCAGAAGATTCTCCGTATATCCAGGGAGGACTATGAGAGCATCATGAAAGAAGGGTAGGGTTTTAGTAGAATAAAATACAGTGGAGGAGAATTCATTGAATTATTTAATAATTTGTTTGTTTTAAAAGTCAAGAAATGGGACACATGCACACAAAAATAAAGAGGAGTTGTGTCCACTGGTGAGAGCTATTATTGAATAGATGCTTACAAACACCTCTTTCATGGGTGCTAGGAAAATGAGATACCTCCATCACAGAAAGGCTGCCTTCAGGAAATGCAACTGAATCCTATGCAACAAATGGGTAACAACTGTACCTTTAACACTGGAAAGTGGGTTGGAAATGCCATTATTATTATTATTATTATTATTATTATTATTATTATTATTATTATCAAGTGTCCTTTCTTCACTCGGACAAAAGTACCCTACTTGTACACAATGAAAGAAGATAGAGGGTGTAAATAAGGGGCCTACAATAAATGGAAGCTTTCGCCTGCAGCACAAGCATTACATGTATCTGGCTGAAGTCCTATTTGTGCTTGGTAAGATTTGCTCCTTCCTACCGAAAGCAGGGCACATTCACCAATGGTCCAATGGTCTCGTCAAGGAAAAAGGTTAAGTGCACCAAGCAACGCTAAGGAGGAATCCTTACCAAATGCAAGGCCCAGAATCACCATGCTCAGCTCAATAGCCAGAAGGAAGAATCTTGTGATTTCCCACAGGATCTAGAGAAGACAGTACATGCCACAAAATCAAGATCAGGGAGCAAACGGAATAGGTCCTAAAAGAGAAGCTTGCCCAAAGGTTTTCCTCCCATCGTTCCTTCCATCAGAAGTTCCTTCCATCCATGAAAATAAAATTAAAAATACCATCCTAACATCTCCCTCACTGGCTAATGCATGGTGCTCACTTGAATTTTCAGAATTAGTTGCCTCTCAGGCTACGAGTCTTATACAACTGTCTGTACGTTTGGCATTGTGCACAAAATCTCAACTATTTTGTTACTTCATCGCAGGGGGTTTAATCCTTCAATTCCATTCCAATCATCCTGTTTCCTCTGTTGTTCCAATCCGGAGCCCAACTGACTTCACTCCAAAACCACGCTGGCTTAAAGGGCTGTAGATTACAACTACTGTCTGCCCCCCGTTTGTCAATATTGACCCTTGGCACAGCCTATCTCAAGTGTTCTGATTGGTCCAAATGCTTAGTGCTCTTTTGGACACCAAATCTAACCCAGATGCATAAGGTGTACTTAAATGGCACAGGTAATGTCTCCTTGCAACCAGGTGCACAGCACAATCCCCTGGCATAGGAAAGCACCATGGAAGATAGGCCTCAAGTTACTTGTCAACAGCAAATACTCATCTTGGCATCAAAACATCTCGTTAAGGGCTATCATTCATGTGGCGATTGACTCTGCTGATCTTCATTTGCCTAAATGAAGAGCCACATTGTTTTATACAAATCCTGAGACTGGCTGTCTCGATGTAAATGCAACCAAATACGGCTTGCAAAAAAGAAAGAAATGCAAAACTGAAAAACAATTAGACAATAAAAACATTTGTTCGAGTAGGATTAGAGACTAGAAAGGGATTTAGCGTTGAGCCAAGCAAAGCATGGGAGGATGGCAAGGCCAAAAGTCAATACTGTTCAAAGAGTTAAAAGAGAACCACACCCTCCAATCTACCAGACAGCCAGGTGCAAAATAGTGGTTCAGGTGAGGGTGGGGAGGAAGCAGCCAAGGTCCATTTAGAATGAAGGAACAGGGTGTCTCTGAGCACATGCTTGGTCCAAGATTTTGTTCTCGGGGACTGAACTGAGCTCATAATCCTTTCACCCAAAACTCCACTTCTGGTTTTCTCCTCAAGATTTCTTTGTTTGAGCGGCCTACGTTTGGGGGTGAGGAGGGGAGAGATAGAAGAAGCCTTTTCCTTGTTGCTATTGTTGAACAACTGGGGCATCAGAAACCCTTGCTGATCCACCACAAAACCCCAAAATATGGGGAGGAGTCCAGGGGGCTGCACAAGCAGACCTTGTTCCATGCACACGTACCCCAGTCAGTGGTACAATGAATTCCACCAATTATTGTAACTGATGACTAAATGGAGCTCAAATCTTTTTACATTCCTGCCCCAGAAATGGGCCAAAGCTACCCTCGCCTCTGGTATCAAACCCACACTCACCTTGTCAGTAACTGTAGCGGCAGTGGAAGCGCTGACTGTCATGGAGACAACCGCTCGAGCAATCCCAACCACAGCTACCACAAACACCTAGAAGACAATGGCAATTGTTACGAATTAAGGCAGAAGAAAAAATGCCTAATGGGCTTCAGGGATGGGAGACCAATCAACAAGGTCCCCCTTTAACATTTTATTTTGTTTTTGTAACAGGATGAGTTACAGAGGAACAGAAGAAAAAGAGGGGGAAGTGGTTTTCCCTCTTTTTAAGGCTGAGAAGGAACAAGTTACTTCAGCCAGGTCACCTCAGCAAAGAAATGCTACAGAATTTGCCATGTAAGACCTACATCAGAAATGGGGAACAGCCAGTGATCAGGAGTGATGTGAGTTGGAAGTCTGGCAACACCTGGACTAAAGGTTTTCAAGGCTTGAAATATTGATCCTTATTAGCTCCTCCATTCTCTGATTTTAGTATCATAATCACTTCATATTCTATTGGTGCCTGCCTGGTACACATAGAATTTTAAATAAACAGGCAGCCAACACCACAGGATATCAATTAAGGAGCCTCAGATCTGGGAAAGACTCCACAATTCATTTGCTGAAGCAGCAGCAGCAGCAGGGGATGGGGGTGGGGAACACAGTAAAAAATGCTTAAGGCACGAAATCAGCTCAGAAGATTCTGAAATATAAAGTCTTTCAAAATCCTTGGCACAGGAACATTAGGGATACTGTACACAGTTTCCAGTTCTAGCTGGAAAAGATGCAAAACATGTCAATACGCTAACTGGTTATCCTACCTCAAATGAAACAGAGTTGTATTCCCTAGTTTTAGCTTATTTTGTTTAAAATAAATGACCTACAAGGAGCTAAACTAATTTTTGCCAGCATTTGTTCAGCTCAGTGTTACATGCAATGTACAATGCTACAACCCTACCACTACTGGCCACAAAACTTAGCCTTCTGAAACGCTATACTTCATTAAACAACAACCCTTCAGCCCCTTCAGGAAATAAATTGATTTTTGTTTTGTTTGAAGTGTGCCATATTCAGTCCTTACGACTGATATTAAGAACACAAATATTCATTGTCTCCCTTTTCCAGAGGTCACACATATTCTAATCTGCTACATGCTGGGCTCTATACAGCTGACATATATTAATCCCACTGACAGATGCTGTAAGGAGACTGGGACCAGAAGGTAAACAGGACTTCAGATGCCACACTCAACAACACCACACAATGATTTCAGCAAGACTGAACCAGGTTTTAGCACCACCTTGCAGATATCCTCTTAGCCTGTCGAGAAAAGTGAATGAGCATTTGCAGTACTGTATTTGTTTGTGGATGTCCTGCATTGTAGCAGCCCTCTGGGACAGTTCCCTGTACATCCTGTTACCACCCTCCTATGCTGCATCTGTAAAATATATCTACTTCCTCTCCAAGATAAAGCTCCTGAAATAACCAGTTTCTTTCCTGCCTTCAGAAATATTATTTAACGTGCTTGGGAGCTAAGCAGTGCTATTGCCACTGCACTTTGCACCAACCCCAATATGGCAGGAGCCTCCACTTACAAAGGAACAAAAAACAAACATTGATTCATTACATTATTCCCTCAAGCGTGCCCTGTGGGACGCAATGCATCCAGAACTGCTATTTGCAATGGGGAAGGCCTCATATGTGAGATGCATATGCACACCTCAGACTAACATTGTAGGACTTGTTACACTGGAGGCAGAAAGATTTTATCCCCTGCTGCTTCAAACATTTCAGCCCTCAGGGGACGGGCACTGGTTTCTGTAAAAGCAACGACCACTGTACACACTTTCAATATGTGCACGATCACGAGCATCGCCACAACCCAGAAGTGGCTGGAAAAGGGGGTGGGGCAGGGGTGGAATGGGGCAGGGTTATGATCGCTCTGCCAACACACACAGGGGTCAGGAACGTAACCCCCATGGAAAATGCTTGTTGCCTGCAGTTATAAAGGAGACCAAGGCAACATTCACACTATACTTTTCAGAGCATGGGCACCAGAAGGGCCAAACCCATGCATGGGATGATAGACTGTACGCCTGAGAAATCAATGTCACTGTTTGGCTAAAGCAAAGAGCTTCTTGAGAGCAATGACTCTCTGAGGGGAAAGGGCTCTTATAGCAGACTCAAACATCTGCAGCTGGTCTGGGCATGGTCTGGGAACCTATCAGGCTTCATTTGGAGTCTGTCAAGTTCACAGCTGTGACGTCCCTGAAGACCTCATCCACCAACCTCGCTCGGCTTGTTCAGGTCAGCCGCCTCGGCCTCAAGGGGAAAAACTTGTTTCTGGAGACCCAGGAACTCCCTGCACTGAGGCTATACCCATGACTTCTGTGCAACAGACAGTCATACATCTGACAATGCAATACACAAGAAAGCCTGCACAGGACATGACGTCTTTTTTAAACAACCCCACAACGTCCAACTTCCTCTATTGCTGGCATGCTGCACTCTGCACCCATCTCCTGCTCCCAGCCTGAGAGTCAGCCCAGGCTGAGTCACCCATTGGCAGAAATCATGGCACCACCATGTGCTGCCCAGGGCTGCTGCCACAATCCTCCGCCTCCTGGGAACAATTCCCTTCCTTCTTCACTCCTTTCAGAAGAAGCCCTTTTGCTCATGCAGTAACTGAGAAGAGGCAATGAAAGTGGAAGTGGGTGCAAATGACAGCACAGCAGAGATTTAAAAAACAAGCAGAGGTATTTATTTACAAAAACAACAACCACCCACAATGCACACACACACACACTAGGCTAGAGGAGGCAATCTCCAAAAAGATACTGATAATCAGCTGACTTAAAGCAGAAGGAGACACTCTTCTCCTCACACATCTGCTTTTTCAGAACTCCTTACAACTATTGTTTATAAATGGCTTCAAGTGCGCCCCGCCCCCCCAAACGAAGTAATTATGAAAATACAATGAAATTGCACAAGTAAATGATTATTTTTTAAAAAAAGTCTAACCACTGCTAGATGCTGACCTAGAACCCTTTCTTTAACTCTGTCTCTAATCCTCTTTCAAATACATTTCTGTGGACAACTGCTGCATTGGGGGGCAGGGGGCTGGGCTGGGACTGCTGTCAATGAGTGGCTCAGGGTGGGCTAAGCTGTTGGGAAGGAGGACGGACTTCAGAGGCGGCAGAGACAGAAGCAGCAGCTACCCCTCACTCCACCCTAAGGAGAGGATTCATTTGAACACATTCCTGATTCTAAAACACAGTGATGCAGTTTAAAGGGAGAGAGATATTTCTCTCAGGGTAGGATATTGCAGGGGGGTGGGGAGTAGGCAAAAAGGGGAAATGGATTACAGTATTCTTCCTCACCCCGTGAGCCCTCTCTCGAACAAGGAGCAAGAAGGGCAGGAGGTGCTGGGTACTGGACAGAGCAGGAAGGCAGATAAACAGGAGAAAGGTTCAGATCACCCAGCCAGATACATCAGCACAGGCTTCCTCACACTCAGTCCTCCAGATGTTTTGAGACTACAATTCCCATCATCCCTAACCACTGGTCCTGCTAGCTAGGGATCATGGGAGTTGAAGGCCAAAAAACACCTGGAGGGCAAGTTTGAGGAAGCCTGCATCAGCACATGTGTCCAGCAACACCTTGGAGGGCCACAGGTTGCCTATTCCTGTTCCAGAATTGCAGCTTGTACTGTGGAAGCACCCCTGGTGCACAGGTTTTTTCCGCAGTGTCATTAGTGAACATGCCACTAGGTTCGTGAGCTTAAGGGAGGCAACACCATGTGGGCCAATTTCCCACTGGCCTGCTTTTAAAAAAACTAAAACAGAAAGACCTGTACTCACCAGTATGTAAAAGGTGGTGAAGATGGGACTGGAGGTGGCGTGGATTTTGGCCTTGGCAGAGGGCAGCTTCCAGAGGAGAAATGCAAAGAAAAGCACATTGGGAACCAGCAGCAGAAGGTCCCAATAACGGACCCTAGAAATAAGGCACAAAAGATAAAACAGTTTTTAAAATGCAGGAAGTGGAGGGAGGAAGGAAGAGAAGAGGAAGAGGAAGGAGAAGAGGAAGAAGAACAAAAGCCACACACAAAACAGCATCTCACCTGGATGTCCCAATGTCTTCATACAACAACAACAAGCACTTGTGTGGCACAGTAATGTTGACGTCAGCCCGTGCAGTTGTCAGGGGTGCAGAAGTTACATTATCCAACGCCGCCACTAATGTGGTAGAAGGTGGATAGGTGGCATTGTCGTACGTTGAGAACCTCACTAGAGGTGTCACTATAGAAGACATCCTGCCACAGCTCTGGGGGAAAAGAAAGTGAGAGAAAAGGGCAGCATCATCATTAGGAAATAGATACACACACATCAAAAGGGCACTCTTCATGAGGAAAGTCACACCTAGAATGCCTCTTGCCTATTCCAATACTCTATTATTGAAGTAAATCCTCATTTTGGGTCCCAGAAACTAGGGGAGAAGGCACCATTTATTACCTAATTGTGCTCCTTTTCCTGTAGTAAATCAAGTTTGCAGCCTGGCTTTATTTTAGATTTAGTTTTGTCCTTAGCTGCTCAAGTAGGAAGTAGCAGCAACACCAAGTACTTTACACACACAACTGGAGGCCAAGAGCTTCAAAGTTATCATCCAGACCCGTAACCTCTTGGGACAGACTATTACAAAGCATTCTATGTGGCCCTACCATTGGAAGTGTATTCAGAAACTTCAGATGCTGAGGAAGGCTGCCTCCTCTGCTTTTTATTAGTTCTTTTATTACCACAAAAAAACTTTCAGTTTGTGGTTCACAGGCAATGCTGCTCATTTCCCATTGTAAGCACACAGTACTAAATAGTTAGGAAGGTAGAAACATATGAGAAGCTTGCTTATATGAAGTCCATCTATGGATCCAGCTAGCTCAGAATTTCCTACACTGGCAGAAAGTGGCTCCCCAGGGTTTCTGGCAGGGCACATTCCCAGTTCTACTTGGAGATGCCAGGATTGAACCTGGGACCTTCTGCATGCACAGCAGATTATCAGAGTTTTATTGGAATCTTCTAGGTCTCTTGGCCAGGGTTTTCTCCCTGTGTACACCCAATTATCACTTCTGCAAAACATGACACACAGCAAGTTAGAACATATTACCATGCCGCTCATCTATTACACATGAAGTTCTGGCTTTCTAGGCTCTAAAAAATTGTCACCAAGAATGCTCTATAAAGCCACCACAGCATGCATTTGTTGAAGGCCCACAGTGCTAGAATGCAGCCAAGTAGCATCGGAAATGCCTTCAGGTTTTTTTTAGCTTAACAGCTAATTATCTCCCCATCTCCTGCCAAAAGAAAGTCACCACCAGACAGCTTTGAAGCGGGTGCTCTAGATTTGCTTCGGGAGCTGTGTGCTTCAGCATGGTCAACAGCCAAGGATGATGAGAACCGTAGCTCAGCATCATCCAGAGGACCAAAGGTTCTCCACCCATGCCTTAGGAGCAAAGCCTTTTAAAGTGTTTCAATGCATTCAAAGCATAGAAACCAAAAGTCTTTAAACAACATGTGTCAATATAAATTTACATGAGAATTCAGTGACTGGAGGCCAAAATACCTAATTCACCCTCCTAAGGAATGTTTCCTGGTCACCCATATTGGCAAACTAGACGAGAGAGAGGAAGGTGAAAGGACTGACATCTGTGGTAAAAGTGTTTGCCAGCAGGGCACTTTTGGGGCCTCCACTCCTAGTACTAAAAAAGGGGGTGGGGGAGGGGAGGGGAGGTGTTCCAGTCCATAGTTGTAAGACCCAACCTGCACATTATTAGAAAAGCCAAAGCAAAATAAAGTTTACATAGTACTAAGTAATTATTGTGTATAATAGTGCACTCTCTCTTTAAGACAGAAAACATTTGCAAAATGTTTTGTAATAAACAACACATTGCTTGTGTATTCTTAAGACAAGTTTTATCCGTTTTAATAAAGCACCAAAAATAATGATTACAGTATGCCTTTATAGATGTCATGCCAATTTAAATATATTTCATTCATTAATGGGAAAATACATTTCCTTTAGTCCAGAAATGATAGTATTTTACTTAAAGCGTATAATTATAACCGTCCTCTTTTAAATTATGAAGGGGCAAAGGCTCCCATTCAAAACCTTGGTAGCAAGTAACCTAAACAATGGCCAATCATTACCTCACATAATCTACTGACCATAACTGGTGCTCTTTCCAGGCTGTAAATATTTAACATACTGCTAGACAATAGGTGGGCCAGTGGCCTGACACAGCACCCTTAATTAAGACATAAATATCACAGCTTTGCGGCATGTGCAGTGACTATTGTTTTCCATATGGATGTGTGTGTGTGTCTGTACACACACACGCACAGAATTTCCCTCCCCCCCTAAAAATATGTTTAGGGGTACTCTCATTTTCCTACTCATATTGAAATACTGCCCCTCAATGAGGCCAAACTTAGATTCACAAAATGTTTAGGGGTATGTGTACCCCTGCATACCCCCAGAAATAAGCACTGTGTGTGCATGTGTGTGTATTATTGATTCTGGCTTGTTTCAAATGTAGGGGCCAGTTCCCTGGTTTGGACAAAACAGGAAACTATAGTCAATTTGAGACTTCCTGACCTCTCACAATGCACCAATAAGGGAAGAGGTGCACAAAGAAGAATTGCACAAGCACCAAGTCTCGTGCATATCTCAGCTTATTAAATCTAGATATGTGTGTTCATACTGGTCTACCTAGTATAAGGCAACTTGTATGTGCTCACGACTGTGCTGTAAGTGAAGGGAAAAGCCAAGCCTTGGGCAGATACAGCTGTGGTAGAATACAGGATCTCTGGCTGAACAAACACACAGAAGCCTTACCCAAGAGAACCACTCCTCTTGCAATCGGCTCCTTTAGACAAATAAACTTTGTCCTGTGTCTGCAGTTCACACCGCAGCCCTTGTAGGGACAAAGACTGAAGGACACTCCTCAAGCATATTAGAACAATAAGCCATGTAGGACCAAACATGCAAGCTTGTTTTTTAGAGTGAAAAGAAACACTGGAGTTGAAAATCAGAAGTAAGGAGTAAGTTTTAACTATGTTTTTCAGTTAAATCTATATGAAATACAGTGATTATGCATGAGGCACGTGTTAATTTCAATTAGAGCTAGACTCTAATGTTTGTACATTTGTTTTTACTGTAAAGTTGACTCCTTATAAGGCAGCCTGGGAGGCTGCTGGAAAGCAGGGTACAACCTCCTGGCATAAATAAATACAGATTATAATAGCCCTCTCATCCTGGGACCCTCCAGAACTCCCACAAACCCTGTCAATTGCCTATGTTGGCTGGACTAATGGGAGTTATAGCCCCAAACATCTGGAAGATACCAGGTTGCAGAAGGCTGAACTAGAATGCTGGCTTGTATGTTTTTTTATAAAGAGATACAGGGAGAGAATTGCTTCTCTGTCCAAGACTAGTACTGCTGCAAAGACTCTGTCCAAGACTAGTACACTACTGTTGCAAACTATGACCTTTTGCACCAGGCACCATGTAATAAATCTGCAAAATACTTCCTGAATCCCTGTTGAACTCAATAGGACCTAATTCTGTATATGGGATTTTACTGTTAAAGGGTGTCACATATTGCAGACTAGGCTTCTACCAACAACCTTAATCTCTCTCTCCTCCCTGACAACCATATTTTTTGAAAAATAATAATATAAAAAAAATCAAGGCTTGAATGAAGTTCTATAAAATTCGAAAGGTAGCCTAGAGCTTTTTGATGTTTTGGTTGATCCTAATGAAAGGTATTATACCGTAAACACACCTAGATCAACAAGTTGCCTGCGTCCCCTGCATGCATCCAGCATTATTTCCAAGGTATCTCCTTTATTCTACACAACCATTATATCCTTTGTCCTACAAATGACACATGCACTTTAATCAAAACAAATGAGAGCTTCCCCTTCCAGGAGTGCAGGAACCTGAACTCAGGCCTAGCAGAAATTAATGTAATCTGCTCTATAAACTCTTGTCGCATCTCAGTTCCTAGATGCTGTATATTTCAAACAACGAGCTGTAACTGCTTGTCAAAACGCAGCACTCTGCACATGCTCAGTACTGTTCTCACAACTGTACTTCAAATGCTCCACAGCTAAGCCCTGGCCCACAAATCAGATTCCATATCCAGCATCTGACAAAAATTGGGTCCTGAAGAGTTTACAAAATATTCAAAAGCTAAGCTAATCCTTGCAGAGTCTATTAGAATTTGAGTCTTGGAATGCTGGGAAATATTTCATTCTCTATACTTCCATGGTTGGAGTAATTTAAATCACACAGTTAACAGAGTTAAGTTTCCTGGACTGAAAAACCTATTCTGAGAAACACAACAATTCTTTGTTTTAAGAGACTGCATTTTTCACTAACTTATCAGCACTCTCCAAATATATAGAGAGAGAAAGAGAGAGAGAGAGAGAGATGGAGGCCTTTTATCTAGCCAAGACATTCTTGCCCCACCCTCTCATATTTACTTTCTCATTTTACCCAAGGACAAGCCTGTGAGAGTAGGGTTTTCAACGGCACTACAATAAAACATCTGTTCAGTTCATTTATGCCACTAGGACCTTAAATTTGGGGCGAGATTTTATGGGCTGTAAAAAGAAGCGGCAATGGACAAGCAGTAAGTTTCATCTTCCCACCCCAACATTATCACAACAGTGACCTTTAACTGGACTCACTTCATATCTTCTCTTAGCCCAGGTAACGACTGTACTACATTGCCCTCCCAAGCACATACAGGGACAGCAAATATATGTATGAAAAGGTAGCAGTAGAAGCTGTTAGGCTGCTGAAAATCTTAAGCTTTTTCTTTCCTTTTTTGTAAACAGCACAGAACTAGAACTCAAGGGATCTAATTCAGCTGTTGATAACATACACAGTACTCAGAAGACATATTGGGATCAGTTGTGTTTTACTCCATAATACATGCTTTTAGGATTGTAGCCTTTGGGAGTTTTGATATACCATTTTAGTAGTACTGTAGCATTTAGGCACTTTAAGACTGATTGTAAGCACACTTGCTCAGTCAGAACACAATTCTAGCTGAGCCAACAGGGTACTTATTTTAAAGTATATGCATTTAAGAACTGGATCAGTGTGCATATTCTATTGTCTGTCAGGGAAATCAGGCAGGCACCAACATTATGCACGGCTTTTGCAAAATCTCATTCTGAATATACCAGGTCACATTCTCCAGCTGCAAAATCCACAAAGTAAAATTCAGCGTGCATAGCTCTCAAGCTTGTCACATATGCTACGTGTTGGCAAACAACTTGTCATGCCTTAAAGCCTCAGCTTTATCTCCTCCAAGAGACGTATGTCAAGCACCTTCTTGAGCAATAACTTGCTTAGAGTATTTGCCTTAATAATTACGAATACCTTTAGCTTGATTACAATGAAACCAGCACCATGAAACACTCGCAGTCAACAACATAATCATGGCATATGTCATGTTACGAGCTCTCTCTCTCTCTCTTTAACAGAGGTGTCATAATCACTGAACTTTGTCACACGGGACACCAGGAAGTGAGCTTTAAACCAGTCAGGGTAACAACATTTGGTCTGGACAGGTCAGAGTTGACTCTGCCATTAGAGGGCTGGTACCCTACCACTTGTAGGCATGGCTCCCCCCCCCAAAAAAAAAATCCTGGGAGCTGTAGTTTGTTAAGAGTGTTGAGAGTCATTAGGAAACCCCTATTTTCCTCACAGAACTACAATTATCAGAGTAGTTTAGCAGTCAATTCCTCTTCCTATGGAACTCTGAGAATTATAGCTCTGTGAAGGGAAGTGTTCTCCTAACCACTCTTGGCACCCTTAACTACAATTCCAAGGATTCTTTGGAACTTAAGCACTGACTGTTTAAAGTGGTATGATATTGTGTTAATTGTATAGTGCAAATGGGGTCAGAGTGAGACAGCCATCTCGGATGGCAAATGCTTGGGGACAGGGAACTGTAGCAAAGCATTTGGAGGACATAGCTGTGTTCACTATGCAGCCTACCCTGGCGCTCTAAGCTAGCCTGCAGGCCTCAGGTGTACAGCAGGATGTTGTTACATCAACAATTTTGGAGTACAATTCAACTGTCAGTACACTGGAATGTAGAAAGTGGGGTATTATGTTGTACGGTTACACCCAAGATAAGCAGGTAATAAAATTCTTTATTTTACAGCGGTTGAGTTGTGGAATTTATTGCTTGGGATGACATTGTGCATAATTTGACATTGCTGCTTGGTAGATATTAATTATGTTCATTCTGCATTATATACTGTGTATGATTACTATGCATTGTTTATTATTATGAATTGTACAGTATTTATATAGCCGTTTACATTTTTTGCATGGATATTATGCTATGCATTCTTTTTTATGTTCTATGCTGAAAACTGCCCTGTGGTCTTTGACAAAGTGAATTATATAAATTTTAATGATCTTCATCACATCATCCTGTTCTTCAGGAAGCAACATGTCTTGGGTCAATTTCAGTTCAGTCTTTCAAATCACTTCTGCACACTTCATACCCCAACCTTAGCTACAAATTCAGTTTTGGTTAAATCATATAAGGTCCTGTGTCTAGTACAGAGCCAATAAGAAAAGGCCCAGAAAGCACTCATTACCTTGGAAAATCAAGACTGTGTCCCAAGAAACAGGAAGAGGGGAGGAAATGCGTATGTGCACACATGCGAGAGAGAAAAAGTGTGTCATTTCAGCCACAGATCATTCACAATGATACCAATATGCAGCAGGAGTTGAAAGTAGGAACACATCAGTTCGAAAGCTAAGGGCAACTTTGGATCTGTGACTGACAGTCCTTGCAATGTCAGAGGTCTGAACAGCACATCATTATGCTGGGTTACTTATAGATTTTAACCACACAGTCTTTATCATCATAAATCATCATGCTAACAACGGTGTCTCTATCTCCCTTATTTAAAGACATGCTCTGCATGCACTCATACACCACTGAACTTTCCAAAAGGCTCCTTCCGAAATACACAGGCAAGGTGCTCAGTGGTTATATTGTTAACACTTGATTATTAGGTGTATATACCAGAACCCGTTAACAGAAAACCCATGAAGAGCACAATCAGGATTTACTATACACACAAGTTACCAGTTATAAAACAGTTGAGTATGGACACAAATCTGTAGTCACAGAGGGCGATAGGAGTTTTCTAATAGGGAATAGACACCAAGCAAACAAGCTCGGAGGATGCTGGAAACGGCAGTCATCCCCTTTATGTCCGAGGCCCACGCCTGAAAGCAAAGGGGCCTTGGGCTGAGTGGTGGAAACAAACCCTCGGTGCCGTCGCCCTATTTAAGGAAAGAGAGCCCGCGCGCACCCCGATACCATTAGGAAAAAGAAACTACCATATGGATCAAAACCAACGACAGGGGAAACTACGGTATTCAGAGAGAGGAGGAGGAAGAGGAGAACTGAATCCTGAAGAACGAACCTGCGACTGAATGTTTTAAGAGGCAAACAAACATCTGCCCATCCCATCCCATTAGTTCGGGAAAGGGGGGGGGGAGGAGGAGGATGCATTTAAGGATCCCACATCTAACACAGAAGTGGGACTGCGTGCCAGGGAATCGTGGCTACTAGATCGAGGGGAGGAGAAGGCACGGCATCTTAAAACGGGGCAGCAGAAAAAGGAGCCGCGATGCTTCGCTCTTCCGTGCCAGGAGGACAGCAACTGGAGACTCGCGCCAATGGAGCCTGGCCATCACTAATAACCGTGCCCGGGTGATCCCCGCTCCCCCATATGGGACCACCGGGGATGCTCTTCGGAAGGCGGTGGGGGAGATTCCTCCTACCTTCTCTGTCTCCTTCTCTCCAGCCGGAGGAGAAGCCGCTCGCTGCCCGCCGCCACCTGGTTACACCCGCCCGCTGGCAGAGGGAGGAAGAGGAGGAGGCTTCTCCCGCTTTCCCTCGCGCCGGTGGCTCATTCCCGGGACTTCGGCCCGGCAGTCCCCGAAGCCACCGAGATCCTGTCCCAGGTCCAAAAAAGGGGAGGAGGCTGCCTGCGTGTAGAGGGCGGGCGGCGGGGGGCGTCGCTAGCGCACCGTGCGAAGCTACAGCCGCAAAACGCCCAACCCGTCACTTCCCCGCGCTCTGCGGCGTCGCGGGGGGCCTTACAGCCCGCCCGGATTTAGCAGCCTCTTCCAGCCGAAGGGGCGAAGGCCAACAGTTCCCTGCGGGAGAGGAAAAGGCAAATAAACTCTTCGGCTGTCACTTCGCGGGGGAGAATTGAGCGTCGTTCCCTAAGCCTCATAGCCTTCAGCCAATCGCGAAGCGCCTAAGTGAAGAAGCCGTACTCAAAAGCGAAACAAAAGGGCCGAAGGAGCCAATGAGGAAAGCGGAGGGGCGGGGGCAGAGGGCAGGACGCGAAAGGTCTTAAAGGAGCATATTGCTTGACAGCTAAGCAGCGAGGAGGCGCGGGGGGGGGGCGACCCTTTGAAAGAATTAATATCCATTTGGCAACGTCCGTTCGTAAATAGCACAAAATGCGGTCCTACGTGTTTCAAAGGACTCTCGTCTCCTAAAACGATTCACTCTTACCAACCTTTAAACCACTTTGACAATGTCAAAGAGCTAATCTGTATTGACAGAGCAATTCTGTGTGTGTTTACGTGGAACTATGTCTTACTTTGTTCATTAAGACTCACTCTCAGGTGCATAGGATTTCAGCCGGGGTGATCTTGCATATAAACTCTATGAAAATATCTGGGTACCTTCATACTGCTGGTATGGGTTTTGCAGTCATGGTTATTTTGCTTTTTCACCTAGTGTGTGGCTTGGCTCACTTGCTTGAATAGTAGGAAGTATTGCGGGTCACTTTGTACAGTACTTTGGACTATATGAGCTGATCAGTAACAAGCTGGCATGCCATGTGAATGATGTTATCCTCTGATGAGTTCCTTAAATTACAGTTCTGCAAGAGAAAAGCAAAGCAAAAAGGCATCGGCCCAAGTTAAACATTTACATAATGCCATTATTTATTCATTTATTTATTACATAATAATCCATAGAAGTGATTGACGGTACAAAAGAGTGTCAGAGAGACAGGTCAGGGAAGACAGGTCTACTAATGGCTGCGTTCCTAAGTAAATTTGCTTGGCAGAAAGCCTAACTCAAAAGACGGTAAAGTTGACACCTGTCCGATGTGTAATGGGACAGAGAGTTGTAAAGGTGTTGCCACATTAAAGGTCCGATTCTGGCTTCCTTGATGAGATAGTATGTGCTGGAGGTTTTAGTTGGGTATTTAAAGGGTCAGCAATATCTCAAGAGATCCTATAAGGCTTCATAGACCATTCAGCACTATGAACTTAGGTATCTAACACATCATGTGTTTAAATCCTGGGAACTAAAGTTTCCCCCTCACAAAGCTGCAGTTCCCAGCACCCTTAACAAACTACAGTTCCCAGGACTCGTATGTGTGTGTGCTTTAAGTGTATGGTGTGCATGTATCGTTAGCCTGGGAACTAATTGGCAGCAAATCTTTGGGCAGAGGTGTAACTTGTCAGTGAGAACTGCGAGATTCTGCCCCAGCGAGCAGTCAAGGCCCCTGTATTTTGAACTAGCTATAAACAAAGTTCATGAACAGGGTGTTCCTCACATAAACCTCCAACGGATTAAAAAGTGGAAAACAATGGGAAGTCACAGAACGCTGCTTCCTCCTTCAATTCGTCATATAGGGCTAATGCAGCCAAGTAGATGGGAAACGAGTTTTTAGACCCAGCCGAGGAAAAATCTTGAGGGAATGCCCCGCATTAACGGAACCCTCACCCCAGGCCCAGCATCTCCATTTCCCCTTCCTCCCGCCGGCCTAAACCATGTGTTAGGGAGCACTTAATCTTATTAAAACCAATTAATTTAACCCTATGCACAAGGACAACCCAATTTTCTGCACATTTCCTCCAAATCAAATCTCACTGAAGGCAATCAAGTCCCCGCCCCCAGCCCAAAATGCACAGGGTCGGGCTGCTTGCCTCCTGCCCTCCCTCCCGAGCAAAAGCTCCACCCAATTTCCTTCGGAACTCATTAATAGGCGCAGCACGCTCTCCCCTATTCGCTCACGAGGAGGCGGCGCCACTTTATCTGCATATTCATGAGCTTATTTATTATTCATGAGCTTTCGCGGGCTTTTTGGCCACGTGATTCCATTTCGCGCGGAATTCGGGCTGCGTCCGGCGCTGTGAGCAGGAAAGGGGGAGCGGTGAAGAAAAGCGGCAGAGATGGCGGTGAGTAGGCGCTGGACTCGGGGGCTGCACACGATTGCATTGCGGGGGGTTGGGCTAGATGACCCTGGGAGTCCCTTCCAACTGATTCTATGGTTCTCCCGGTTGACGCTGATAAGAGTTTCCTTCCCCCCATCTGAGACCTCCCTCGGGCCTTTTGTCTTCTTCCCATTGTGGCCGGCCTGGAGTGCTGCGGAGGAATCCTACTAAAAGAACCACCCCTTTGCTTGGGAGGGTGTTTGTAAGCTGACGGCGTCTACACCCCAACTATGTTCTGTGGTGGAGGGAGGGAAGGAAGTGGACTTTTTGTCAAACGCCAGCCTGCAAAATACCCCACCCCACCCACGAGCCCAGTCCTCGCTTGGAAGGGGCGAATCTGTGTCCCGGCTGCACCACTTCAGAACGCAGGGGCAATTTGCGCGTGGAATTAAGTTTCCTTTCAAAATCTATTCCCTGCGTGTAAACAAGTAACCCTTGCACACTTAGTGCAAGCCTGCCCTGCTGAACTCTGAAGGATTTACCTCTGATGAAGCATGTGTATGATTGCACTGCACTTATCAGGGGAATGATTCTGCTTCCTGACATGGGATAGTGTACATACCATATGTTTAAAGCACATCCCTTCATACCCCAAGAATCCAGCTTTTAAGGATATTGTTTATTGCAAATTTTACACTTGGCACCATGTGTTTTCTTAGGATTCCTCAGAGTCCAATGTGGCAACCAGCCCTGCGCACAGCTCTCGTAGGGGAGAAGCCTTCACTTCTAGTCCTGGGAGAGATCTGCCCCCCTTTGAGGATGAATCTGAAGGACTCTTGGGAACAGAGCAGCTCCCTGATGAAGAAGAAGAAGATGGAGAAGAGCTGTTTGGAGAAGGGATGGAAAGGTAGGAGACTTTCTCTACGGTGGCCAAATCCTCCTGTGAGATTTCTTTTCTGTTGTGGCAGAATTCAGGTGATACACCTGCATTGATGGAAACTGGACCTCCCTGAAATAAGAAGCTTCTGAGGTGCAGGTGTTATACATTTGGCAAATTTACTCTTTTCTACATGGATAAGTAATTAGGATTTATTTCAAAAGATCTCAACTTATGGAGGATATTGGATTTTTCATCCTTTATGTGTTGATGGGCATGTGAACATGTCTGCAAAATATATTATTGCTTTCACCAGGATTTGTTGCTGAAAGTAAACCAAAATCTGGCATGCCTTCTAGTAGCATTTCTAGTTCAGAAGTTTGTAAATATTGCTCCCCCCCCCCAAAAAAAAGAATACAGCTGCTTCTGTGGACAACTACCCACATGTAGCATCTTGACTGTGTATGAATTTGCTCTGTTTGCATCAATGACACTTCTGGCCAGGCTGACAGGTGAGCATCATGATACAGGTGGGGGAACTCACCCAGATGCATCTGCATTGGCATCACGTGCAGAAGGCAGATCGCCCTTGCTGTGTGACCGTGATGTTGTCTAGCAATCTTGATGGTCCATTTACACCTTCTGTTTGCATCCTGTTCTGTGGAATTGTATTTTGGGATAAATTCAGAAAATTATTTTCTATTTTAATTCATTATATATCTGCCTTGTCCTCTTTATCATCTCTTCCTTCTAATGTATTTTGCTTCAGTAGGGTTAGAGAGCATGCTATTGTTTCAGATTTTGCAACATACCATGTACACTGATGGTGCTAGGTAATTTAATAAAGGCCCGTGTATGCTCTTGTTTACGTTCTGCATGCTCTTCCAAGGGTCAGAAAAACCCAATAGTGAGGCTGTCACTATTGTATTGTATTGTATTGTATTGTATTGTATTTGTGCTTCTAACCGTATTTAGAGTAAACCCCACTGAATTCAGATAAAAAAAAGAAGAAAAAAAAGAAAAACCCATTGTTACTCTTTGGTTGCTGGGCAGAAGAGTTAACTTCCCACCCAGTGCAGCTTCTGACAAACTTACCAGCTACATGTGGTCGGGGAGTCTACCCACCCCATGGCAAGATAGCTGCCTTCGGGGATATCTGTACTCCTGTATCTCATTTTGCACAGCGCAGCTTTGTGTGTTTCATTTGCACAACCGTAGCATGAGTGCTCTGCTTCCACTTTCGGAGGCAGCAATGCTCTTGAATACCAGTTGCTGGTAACCACAGGAGGGGATAACGCTCTTGTGTTCAGGTCTTCCTTGTGGGCTTCTCACTGTGGTTGGCCTATGTGGGAATGGGATGCTGGGCTAGAGGGGCCATTGGAATAACAACTGCAGTTGTCATTCCATGCAAAAATGGCAAACGTCGTACAGATTGCGCCTATGTGCCTTGCGTTTTTCCTGGGTAGGTGCTGTGCAACAGACTCCTTTAACATGTTAACAGGTGCTTGTGTCTGCTGTAAATTTAAGTGAGGTATGCAGATGATTCACTCACGCTGCGCAGGTTGATTAACTGAAGAATGTGCGTGTCTAGGGACTACCGCCCTATTCCAGAGCTTGATCGCTACGTACCTGAAGGCATGGCTACGGATGATGAAGATGTGGAGGAACTGACTGCCAGCCAAAGGGAAGCAGCAGAGAGAGCAATGCGGCAGAGGGACCGTGAGATGGGCCGTGGCCCGGGCCGCATGCACAGCGGCCTGCTTTATGGTATGTATTTGCAGCTTAATAGCATAAGGAATGTCCTGCTTGATCAGAGCAAATGCCCGTCTGCTCCAGTTCCCTTTTCTGATAGTGGCCACCCAGATGCAAGAGCCCATGGCTGCGATTGCTTCCCCAGCAACTGGCATTCAGGAGTAATTGTGACTAGAAGCTGTTGAGAGCCAGTGTGGTGTAGTGGTTAAGAGTGGTAGTCTCGTAACCTGGGGAACCGGGTTCGTGTCTCCGCTCCTCCACATGCAGCTGCTGGGTGACCTTGGGCCAGTCACACTTCTTTGAAGTCTCTCAGCCCCACTCACCTCACAGAGTGTTTGTCGTGGGGGAGGAAGGGAAAGGAGAATGTGAGCCGCTTTGAGAATCCTTTGGGTAGTGATAATGCGGGATATCAAATCCAAACTCCTCTTCTTCTTCTTGATACTGTTGGCCTCTATGAACCTGTCTAATCCCCTTTTAAAGTCATCCAGATGGGTGGCCATCACACTGTTGTATCTTGTGGTGGTGAGTTCTATCATTCCATTGTGCACAGTTTGAATAAGTACTTCAACCACCGTTCAGTTTCTTCAGATGACCCCAGGTTTTAGTATTATGAGGTGGGGAAGAAAACCATCTATAAAGCTTGTTTCTATTTGCTCAATAGCTTATACCTGTACAATGCATCTTCTGAAAAGCGGCTGGCACTTCTATTTGTACAAATTTATATATTAAGAATATTTGTAGGTTGCCCTTCGGCAATGCTTTCAAAATGATTTATGGTGACTCAGTTCACGTGTAATGCAGCAGCAGCAATACCAGAGAAAGGAGCAAAGTGGCTGCAGTCTCCAATCCTGGAGGCCATGCAATAGTTTGCGTTTAGATCTTTTAGATAGTAAATATTTTTAAAATGATCTTTAAAATTCCAAGAAATTGAGCAATAGCAGAGCAATTTTAGGCTGTAATCCAGTGTGCACTTAACGTATTGAGTGCACCGAGACTTACTTCCACAACAGGTGCCGCTGTGGTCTAAACCACTAAGCCTCTTGGGCTTGCTGATCGGAAGGTCAGCGATTCAAGTCCCCGCAATGGGATGAACTCCCGTTGCTCTGTCCCAGCTTCTGCCAACCTAGCAGTTCGAAAGCATGCCAGTGCAAGTAGATAAATAGGTACCGCTCCGGCAGGAAGGTAAGCAGCATTTCCCTGCGCTCTGGCACTCGTCACGGTCCTCTGTGCGCCAGTCGCGGCTTAGTCATGCTGACCACATGACCCGGAAAACTGTGTGGACAAATGTTGGCTCCCTCGTCCTGAAAGCGAGATGAGCGCCGCAACCCCATAATCGCCTTTGACTGGACTTGACCATCCAGGGATCCTTTACCTTTACCTTTTCACCTTTTACTTCCATGTAAACATGCATAAGATTGCACTGTTAATATTGCATGTCTCATTTTGTAAGCATGCAAGGTATGGGTTCTAATCCCAAAACAGGATGTGAGGTCGTTAGGCTTGGAGCTGTATCTTGTCACAGAGATTGGTTCTCCAGAATTGTCTACATTAACCAGTAGCATCAAAAGCCTTATGTCTGATCTGTCCTTTTAAAAAAAAAAAAACAAAAAAAAACTTTACCCCCTCTGGAAACTCCAGATAGCGATGATGAAGATGAGGACCGTCCTTTGCGAAAGAGGCGCCTTGCTGAGCGAGCTGCTGATGGCGAGGATGAAGATGAAGACATGATTGAGAGCATTGAGAACCTGGAAGACATGAAAGGGCACTCTGTGAGGGAGTGGGTGTCTATGGTAGCGCCTCGGCTTGAGATCTACCACCGCTTCAAGAACTTCCTGAAGACTCATGTGGATGACCATGGCCACAATGTCTTTAAGGAGAGGATCAGTGATATGTGCAAAGGTACAGCTGTGTAGGAATATGGGGAGAGGATATGTGTGTTTTTTTATTCCCAGCATCTTCATTAGTGTAACTGATTAGTGAAGTGACTAACCTGTAGGGCTTCTGCAGCCTATGCCATACCTGTATAGATATTATAGATTTATAGTTCAGAAGTGATCAGATAACAAGAGGAAGAGAAGAAGGTTACACCTGATATTCAGAACGGTTCATATGCTGTTAGATAACATCATGTGCAATACATTTATATGATGTAGAAGAAGATTTGTAAGATTGTAGTGCTTAATGTACAAGATATTTAACACTTTTTACGATGGGTTGGCAAAACTGAGCCATCATTTGTCAAAAACGTACTTGTCTTTGTGCCAAAGAGAACAGAGAGAGCCTGGTGGTGAATTATGAAGATCTGGCTGCTCGGGAGCACGTCCTCGCCTATTTCCTTCCAGAAGCCCCAGCGGAAATGTTGAAGATCTTTGATGAAGCGGCCAAGGAAGTAGTGCTAGCTATGTACCCCAAATATGACCGGATTGCCAAGGAAATCCACGTCCGCATCTCCCATCTGCCTCTGGTGGAGGAGTTAAGATCACTCAGGTGAGGAATTGGTTTGGTTTAGGTGATGAGCAGTCCTTCTAAGACTTCTGGTGGATAAGCTCCTTAATGAAATATAAATGGCCAGGATGTGTAGGCAGCCAGGCTTGCAAACAGCTACTTGCCTCATTCCCTGTGACCACAACAAGTAACCATTTAGTAACAGCATTAGGGTAGAATGTTATTTGAGTGGTTGGGGGAAGGGCTTCCATGGCTTGCGCAGAGCTGTCTCGTATCCCAAAGCCCCGGCGCAACTGTTCAGTGCGCCGGGGCTTCGGGTAGCTCTGCGCAAGCCACGGGAGCCCTCCCACGGCTTGCGCAGAGCTGTCTCTTATCCCGAAACCCCGGCGCGCTGAGCAGTGGAGCAGCCTGTTCTGGGGGCTGGGGTTGGGGAAACTCGGGCTTTCCCCTCCCCAGCCCCGCGTCTGGGGGAAAATAATTTTTCCCCCCCTTTATTCCCCCCCAAAAAAACTAGGTGCGCCTTATGGGCCGGTGCGTCCTATGGGGTGAAAAATACGGTAGTTGGAAGTCCCAGCAAAACCTGGAGGGCCTCCACTGGCTCCTTTCTCCTGTTGTAAGACCTGAATTCTCCCATTCTTTGGAGACCATGAACAACCCTGGAGAACAAGAGGCTCCAGAAAAATCCCAGCCAAAGAGTAGGCTACTAGGGGCAGGAAGATTGTGAAAGGAGGGAATTTTGGGCAGCTGCGATGGAGAAGGGAATTCATGGCTTTCTGTACACCCAGTGGATCACACCTTTATCTCCCCCTACCTCTGTCTGGCACCTTTGACTGGTGGGAGGGACCACCCACTGGTCAGTCACCTGACTTAATGGTGACAGGCGATTGAAACTGTGCCTCCTAAAAGACCAAACGTCAGCTGACAGTTGGGCATTTAGGAAGTGCTGAGCAAGGGGTCCATAAGTCCTGTGCTTTGTGCTTCAGAAGAGCTGAACCCCAAGGCTTGCAAAGTGTCTTGCATGGCGTTTCCCAAACACCCAGCAACTAGTTGACTGCTGCCTCCTCAGCTCTAGTATCCGCCTGGGATGTTGTAGCTGCAATTCTTTCCTTCTCACTCCTTGGGTGGCAAGACTTCTGATGGTTGTGGTGTGTGTTTCATTAGGGAGCTGCTATGAATAAGAACTTGTTTTCGTAAAATAATCCATTCTAAGACAGTGAACCTGTTTTAATTGCATTTCGATTGCCATGATAGCCTGCAGACGACTGCGGTTATTTTTCACTTCCCTAAAGTACGGGATCTATCTCAACAGTTATTTATTTCGCTTTTTCTCTCAGGCAGCTGCACTTGAACCAGCTGATCCGGACGAGTGGAGTTGTGACGAGCTGCACAGGGGTCCTGCCCCAGCTCAGCATGGTCAAATACAACTGTACCAAGTGTAGCTTCATCCTAGGGCCTTTCACGCAGTCCCAGAACCAGGAAGTAAAGCCAGGATCCTGCCCAGAGTGTCAGTCCGTGGGTCCCTTTGAAATTAACATGGAAGAGGTAAGCAAGGATTAGGGTGATTTTAGGAGTCTAGCTCCTACTGTTTTATGTCTTAAAGACATGCATATGTCATATATAGCTGGGACAAATTAGCCCAGAGCTCAGCTCTTTCTTCTTTGCTTGGAGGTATTTAAGGAGAGACTGATAAGACATAATATTCCATTTGACCTAGTCCAGCTTACCCAGACTGCACTGCTGCAGGCAACCCTATACATCACCTTCCCAAAGAGCAGTGGACTTGTAATCTGGTGAACTGGGTTTGCTTCCCCGCTCCTCCACATGCAGCTGCTGGGTGACCTTGGGTCAGTCACACTTCTCTGAAGTCTCTCAGCCCCACTCACCTCACAGAGTGTTTGTTGTATGGGAGTTGGAACTTAACTGGTTAAGTTGTTCCCATGATGCCTCAATTCTGACGTCAGCTTTTGGAAGCTGGGAGGAGCCTGGGAGGAGTTTCTGTCTGTTCCCCTCTGGTCTTTGAGGGAGAAAGACGTAGCTTTCCTAATGGCGGAAAGGAGCCCAGGAGATTCCTGGGGGAATGTCGGAATAAAGAGCTGTAAATAGACAAACCGGGCTCTGTGTGTTTGTCTGGAAGCTGAGACGAGCTGAGACGAGCTACGTGACAGTTTTACACCGCTGTGTGAAACTCTGCTACAGGTGTGACTGGAGCTACCGGACGACGGAGCTGAGTGGCGCAGCTGAGGGAAGCGCGCCGGACCGGGCTGCCATAAATAGCTAATTGAGGACCAGTAAATCAATTAGCGGGGCCCCAATATCGTAAATCTCCACAGGTTATGGGTAACCTAAATCACCGCTTGTAAAACTGTCACAAGAGGCTGCCGGAATGCGTTTGAAGTTCGGCAGGAGATGGTGGTTGTTTTTTGCCTGGTGTTAAGAGGCAAGGAGAGCTGCGGAGTTAAAAAAGCGGCTGGCTGAAAAAACGCAGAGAGTTGCCTGTGTTGCTGACTGCTGTGGAGCCAAGGAGCTGAGAGCAGCAGGGAATCGTTTCTCCGGACGGGTGCTGGATGAGCTGGTGATCTTGTGAGTACAGCTTGGGGCCCCTTGGGAGAACGGAAGAGAATGGCAGGCTGCCAGGTCTTGGAGGACTGTGGGAGGCTCACTTTAAGAAGTTGGGCAACCTGGCTGCTGATCTGAAGTCTACTGTTCTGGGTGCCAGGAAGCCAGAGGCCGTTTGGCTAGTGCTCCAGTGAGGCTGGAGGCGGAAGCAAGGGCTGGGAGATGGCTGCTTCAGAACAGAAAGCAAGATGGCGCTGATCACCTTCGTGAGAGCCAGTGCACAGCTGGGAAAGGCTGTGGGCCCCAGAGGGGGGCAAAAGGACTATTGGTACTGCTGCCGTTGCTGCCAGGTTTGCAGAGTCTAAAAGGGCTGCTTGGAAACGTGCTGTGTTTGCTGTGAAGCTTCAGCAAAAGGCCAGAGCCCTGGAGAAGGAATACAAAAGCCTAGAGATGGCTGGAGCCCCTGTCCCTGATGCTTTAGCCACAAGGAGTGCTGCTGAGCAGGTCGGGGGGGGGCGAAGATTTCCAAAGGCACGTTTAAAGCTTTCCACTGTACGTGCTGGAATCAAGTGGAGGTTCAGAGGGGGCGGAGCTGGCAAGGAGTGCTTTTCCGGAAGAAGGAGAAGGAGGCCAGCTGGGAGGAGCCCCGGAGCAGTGTTTTTCCACTGGAGTTCGTCATTGCTACACGTGTAATGCGGGACGCTTGCGACGCTGCTGCCCATGGAGAGCGGAGACAGCTGGGCAGGAAGGTCCCAAGGACGCCAGCGTGGGAACGCAAGGGAAAGACGTGTCTCAGACACTGGGGAGGGTTGTTTCTTATCACTGCTTCTATGGCAACTGTGAAGAACAACTCCAGCCAGGACACGGTGACACGCTGGGTGTTTTGGTTTCTGCTATCAGGCAGCACCTGATAGGCAAACTGCGGGACTGCAGGGCTGTTTTCAACAGGAACAATTGGTTTATTCGCAGACGGAGCACAAAAAGCAGTCTGTGGTGTGGCTAACGTGTTTTTTCTCTCCTTTACAGGAGGAGCAAGAGGTCTACGTTGTGCCGGGACTGAATAGTTGTCGGTTATCTGTATCTGCTCTAACGAAGCAGGGGTTCAAAATGTGCTTTGAAAATGACACCTGTTCCATTTTCAGAGGGGGGCGACAACTGGTCAACATGGCGAAGAGCAAGAATAATTTCTTTGTTCTGGAGTCACCTCTGGAGGGTGGTGGGAATGCTGAAAAAGCACAGGCGCAGTGTGCTAAGGTTCCCAAAGATGTGCAAAAGTTGCACAGGTGCACAAAAGGGTACAAGCTCCGGAAATGTGGGAGGTCCCAAGGGTGCAGGGCATGCAAAGGTGCAAAGGTACTTGGTTCTCCCGGGTTTGGGAGGGTAGCCAAGGAAGTTTTGAGCTTGTTCACACAGATCTGTCAGGACCCATGAGGTGTGAGAGTCTGGGTGGGGCCAGGTATGTGCCATCGCTGACAGATGACCACAGCCAGGTTGGCTGGTGTCTCTCTCTCAAACCACAGGGAGAGGCGGCGCAACTGATCAAGGATTGGGTTGCGGAGGTAGAACTAAGGTTCTCCACCAAGGTGCAAGGGTTCAAGAGCGACCGAGGGTCACAGTTTACTGGGTCTGCTCTGGAGGAATTTTTCAAGGAAAAGGAAATACGTCACTAGGTGACGGGGTGCAAAGTCTTCTCAAGGGAGAAGGGAGACTGTTGCTGAGCCCGGTGACGGGGATCAGGTCCAGAATCAGGGTTCAAAACCCGGTGATGGGGACCAAGTCCAGGGTCAGGGTTCAGGGCAGGTTTGGGCATCTCCAAGGGTTGTGAAAGGAGTGTCCAGGTGTGAGGCTTCATCTCCGGTAATGGAGAAAGCTCACGGAAGGGGTGTCAAGTCAGAGGGGGAAGAGTCTGACGGAGAAGACACAACTGCTGGCCCTAATGGGTCAGTAGGGTATCAGGTCACAGGTGCGTGGAAAAGTGTCGCACAGTGTGATTCTGGGAATGCTGAAGGGGTTCAACAGGTGCCTGGGAAAGATGCCGGGAAGTGGCACAAGGCAAAGGGGAAGGTGTTGAACTCAGAAGGTCTTGTCAGAATGTGATGCAGAGGGGGTATGGGAGTTGGAACTTAACTGGTTAAGTTGTTCCCATGATGCCTCAATTCTGACGTCAGCTTTTGGAAGCTGGGAGGAGCCTGGGAGGAGTTTCTGTCTGTTCCCCTCTGGTCTTTGAGGGAGAAAGACGTAGCTTTCCTAATGGCGGAAAGGAGCCCAGGAGATTCCTGGGGGAATGTCGGAATAAAGAGCTGTAAATAGACAAACCGGGCTCTGTGTGTTTGTCTGGAAGCTGAGACGAGCTGAGACGAGCTACGTGACAGTTTTACACCGCTGTGTGAAACTCTGCTACAGGTGTGACTGGAGCTACCGGACGACGGAGCTGAGTGGCGCAGCTGAGGGAAGCGCGCCGGACCGGGCTGCCATAAATAGCTAATTGAGGACCAGTAAATCAATTAGCGGGGCCCCAATATCGTAAATCTCCACATACATCACCTTCCCAAAGAGCAGTGGACTTGTAATCTGGTGAACTGGGTTTGCTTCCCCGCTCCTCCACATGCAGCTGCTGGGTGACCTTGGGTCAGTCACACTTCTCTGAAGTCTCTCAGCCCCACTCACCTCACAGAGTGTTTGTTGTGGGGGAGGAAGGGAAAGGAGATTGTTAGCCGCTTTGAGACTCCTTAGGGTAGTGATAAAGCGGGATATCAAATCCAAACTCCTCTTCTTCAGTGGCTTCTGCAGGGAATCTGGCATGTCTTGGGACCTTGAAGGGTGATGCTTTTGTTTAAAGTATTCTGAACTTTGTATGGTGGTGGTTTGGGGAGTGATAATCTGCCTTGTGTGGACACTTCACAATGCAGTAGATACTGTCTTTTTGCAGCTGCGTACTGACATGGCTACTCTCCTGGAGGCTTCTTGTGTGGATGTAAGGGCAAGGGGCCTGTCCTTGCATGAAAGCATAGAATGCCATACTAGTCCTCATAAATTCAGTGCTGATACATAGAAAACATTTGTACCGTTTCTTTCCCTACAGAGCCAGGCCTTACAAGGCTTTGGGCTTGTAAACGTAACGGAAAAATGATCTAGAGAGACCTGTTTGCAATGCCTCTTTTGATATTGTGGCATTTCCATTCTGAAATGTTGGTTGGTGTGTGTCTGTGTGTCCTTGTCCTTTTTGTTGCCTTTGACCTGCTGGCTGATTAATACTGTTTCCCCACAGACGGTCTACCAGAACTACCAGCGCATCAAAATCCAGGAGAGCCCAGGGAAAGTGGCAGCGGGCAGGCTCCCTCGCTCCAAGGATGCCATCTTGCTTGCTGACCTAGTTGACAGCTGCAAGCCAGGAGACGAGATTGTGAGTACGATGCCAGAGGAAGGAGAGCGAGAAATCCAGAGAGACTATGGCACTCGCCAAACCATTAAGAAAATGGTCTGGTGTATAGAATTTGAGAAGGGGGTGCTTGTTATCTTGATTAAAATTGTACTGTGTGTATGAAGCATGCGCCTTAAATCTGTCAGAATGCTAACTCAAGGCTTCTTAAGCCCCCCGCCCCCCCCAGTGGTTTTGTACATTATACTCGATAGCAGAAAATAAAAACTTGGGTCATTTCCATATTTTTGCAGATACTTTTTTTATCTGCATGATGACACACGCACCTGTCTAGGCTTGTAGGCTGCCAACTCATGTTTACATCTAGATTCCTTGGAAATTAAGACTCTTGGCATGCTGTGCAGAACTTCAAAGAAGCGAAGGCGCTGTTGTCAGCAGAATAGTTTAAAGGAAAACAGATGATGATGGGTTTTTTCCAGGTAGAAGTTGCAGATGTTGTGTTAATATGTCATATGCATCACATCTATTAAACAGAACAATAGTGTCCATGCCACTCTGAGGAAACTTCTTCAGACACTTAACTATGCTTCGAACAGCATCAAATAGAGTTAGCAACTTGTTTCTAGAGCAGCTCAGTCACGCATATGTCACCAGGATGCCAAAATGCATCTATCGACTCAGCTTGGCTTTTCATTATCTTCAATGGCTCCTTCAGTTGCAGGGATTTGTCTTGGTACCAGTGACTAAAGAATCTCTCTCCGCACCCCCCCCCCCTTTTGCCTTTCAGGAGCTAACTGGAATATACCATAATAATTATGACGGATCTTTGAATACTGCCAATGGGTTTCCCGTCTTTGCGACAGTGATCATGGCAAATCACATTGCCAAGAAGGATAATAAGGTGGCTGTTGGGGAGCTGACAGATGAGGACATGAAGGTCATCGTAGGCCTGTCCAAGGATGAGCAGATTGGAGAGAAAGTGAGTTTGGAACCAAATTCACCTTTGGGTTTTTTGTTTCCCACTTGAGGACAGGGAATGGGTTAACCAGTCAGAAACTGCATGGAGGAACTTGGCATGTAGACAGTTCCAGTGGGTTGCAGGTACTCTCCCCAAATATTTTCTGTCGCCCCATTTGTTCCTCCAGCGTTTAGCTACAGTGTGTTTGTATTTCATGTGTGCAGGAGAATTATTGCTCCCCTAGTAGCAGGCTTTACCACCCCTTCACTTCCTTAGTCTAGCTATTCATCCAAAGGCAAGCAGCTTTTTGATTCCAAGAACAGAAAGGCCCACAGGCTTCAAGTAAAAAATAAATAAATTTCCCTGCTACAGAACTCTTTTGGAGCGGCCAGTGTGGTTCTCCAAAAAAAACCTTTACACAAAATCAAAAGGTATGCTCACAATGTGCAGTTATAAGGTGCTGAGTGTTACCTGGGTCCCCTAACCCTTTCCAAATTAGCACATATAAATATGCACATTTGTCTATTTTATATCCCACCTTTCCTCCAAGGATCTCAAGGTAGTGCACATGATTCTACTCTTCTCTATTTTATGCGCGCAACAGCCCTGTGAGGTAGGTTGGACTGAGAGACTGTGATCCATTGAGCTTGCTGGCTGAGTGTCTCAAACCATAGCACCACGCATGCAGTCATGCACACCATTGTTCTCTCTTACCGCTGCATATGGCTGATGTTGCTATGCAAGTGGAACAAGGGCTGCACCTCCAGAGCCTTTAAGCAGCTTTTCATTGTAACACGGCTGCTTCTCTTGCTACCTCTTTGTCATCCAAGATGACGTCCTGAAAACAGCTGCTGCTTCCCTTGCAGATCTTTGCCAGCATTGCTCCTTCTATCTACGGACACGAAGACATCAAAAGGGGCCTGGCTCTAGCCCTGTTTGGAGGAGAACCCAAAAATCCAGGTAGGTCAAAGAGCTTGTTACCCAAAGAAGCTGATCAATATTGCCTTAACTGCTGCAGAGGTTATCTCTATAGTGCAAAAGGAAATTACACTAGAGAGGTGTGACTTAACAGACAGTTTTGAAAGGCCACTCTTAATTTTCAGTGCAGTTCACTCATCTCATTACAATCAAAAGAAATTGGTTAGTCTCCACTTTGAACGTTTTGCAGAAGACCTTTCTGCCCAAAATGTTTGCAATATATGGCATGGTTCTAAAGTTCCCAGAGCTTGATTGGGAATTCTGTCCATTGTCCAGTTACCTGCTGGCCTGGTTTTTCTTTCCGGGTGTCTGTCCTTTCCAGTTTTATGGCCCTTGTGAAAGGATACCAGCATAGCATATCATTCTGCATTGTTTTATCTTTTTATTGTTGAAATACCTCCTTCAGTATTACGTTGTTCCTCTAGAGGGCAGCACTTGAGTTCCACATTTTAGCGTACAGTGCTGTACATGAACGATGAGCTTTTAGTTAGACTGGCTTTTTGTGTGTGTCATTAAACACTTTAGGAGGGAAACATAAGGTCCGTGGTGACATCAACGTCTTGCTTTGCGGAGATCCTGGAACGGCCAAGTCTCAGTTCCTCAAATATGTGGAGAAAGCGTCCAGCAGAGCGATCTTCACCACTGGCCAGGGAGCTTCCGCTGTCGGTCTGACCGCTTACGTGCAGAGGCACCCCGTGAGCAAGGAGTGGACCCTCGAGGCAGGAGCCCTTGTGCTGGCAGACAGGGGGGTTTGCTTGATAGATGAATTTGACAAGGTGAGTGTTGATTTGGGCACCAGAACCAAGGTAGATTTTGAATAAAGCTGCCTGGGCCGTCCAAGGCCTGTGAACCTGCCCATTAGAGGTCAAGGCTTCAGACTCGGATCTTTGACCTGGAAGCAAAGGAGACACCAGTCCAGCAAGGCATGTAGCTTATTTGGTTTGTTTTTATTTTGCAAGTTCCATATGCTTGCTTGATTGGGTAGTAAAAACCTCAAAGTGGTTTAAAAAAAGAATAAAACAAAAAATTAGCAGTAAACACCAACTATTTAAAACATCAAACTATTCCCCCCCGCAAATTTTATTTTAATTGCCAAATGAGCAATGGGATTACTGAAAATTTAATGGTAGCGGATTTGGATAATTACAGTGGTGCCCCCGCAAGACGAATGCCTCGCAAGAACGAAAAACTCGCTAGACGAAAGGGTTTGCGTTTTTTGATCGCTTCGCAAAGACGATAATTCCCTATGGGCTTTGCTTCGCAAGACGTAACGTTCTTGTGAGTTCTTGCGATTTTGTTTCCTTTTTCTTAAAGCCGCTAAAGACCGTTAATCAGCCGCTAAGCCGCTAATAGCCGTGCTTTGCAAGACGAAAAAACCGCAAGACGAAGAGACTCGCGGAACGGATTAATTTCGTCTTGCGAGGTACCACTGTAAAAGGAGCTAATTAAAAGGAGTAAAAAACAAACATCAAGAAAGCGGTGGGAAGTCAATAATAAACTTTGTATGTTAAAGAAGTTGTATATTAGGATAAATACTTTGAAATATTGTTGGAGACTTAATAAAAATGAGATAGATAGATAGATAGATAGATAGATAGATAGATAAATTAAAATCAACAATAAGCTGAAAAACCACATTGAAACACATGTCAGCATTTGACATGTCTGGATAGCCTTGCCTAAACAAAAATGTTTTTAGCAGGTGCCAAAAAGTGTACAGTGAAAGTGTCACCCTGTTGTCAATAAGGCAGGGAGTTCCGAAGAGTGGGTGCTGTCAGTTTCTTATTATATGGTACCTGTAACAGTGCCAGGTCCGCAGATTGAAGCGGTCAGTGGGCATATATGGGGTAAGGGTAGGATAGATTTTAAAAATATGAACAATAAGTAAAATATAAACAGGTAGCACTAGCTCTTGAATTCATGACTCTCTGGGAAAATGCTTCTCTCAAGAAGTTGGGAAGAGAATATAGTGCAATGGCAGGGCACATGGAAGGTGCTAGGTACAGACCCAGGACCTCTCCAGGTTGTTGTTTTTTAATGTAGCAGTTGAAAGGAAAGGCCTTCTGCCTGAGACTGTGGAGAGCCACCAATAATCAGAGTATGGTGCTCAATGAAGAGATAGTCTGGTCTGCTATGGGGTTTTCTGTCCTAGAAAATTCCCAAATAGGTAAATAGCTAAACATAGTTGCTTGGAGGCTTCTGGTGATGCCACTCTTTATTATAAGTATTCAGGGGCTGAGTTGCTTTGATAGGTGAATGCCTTTGTCTTTCTTCAGATGACTGATCAGGACAGGACCAGCATCCATGAAGCCATGGAGCAGCAGAGCATCTCCATCTCCAAGGCTGGCATTGTCACATCTCTGCAAGCTCGCTGCACCATCATTGCTGCTGCCAACCCCATAGGTATGAGTCGGGGTGCAGGAAGCTGTTGCTCTTCCACAGTTGCTCGAAAAGACGCACGCTGTTGGCTTCACAGCTGCCTTGTTCTTTGGATGTTCTGCTGCGTGTTTGTAGGTCTGGCGAGGGGGAAAGGAGTCTGTGACTGTAATCAGGGGTGCAAAGATGAATCGGTACCAGGAAAGGGGGAAAGCACCGGTCTTTGGGTTCATCAGCTCTTTCTAAGCCGCTATCTTTCCTTCTAGGTGGGCGCTATGACCCTTCCTTGACTTTCTCAGAAAACGTGGATCTGACAGAGCCCATCATATCTCGGTTTGATATCCTCTGTGTGGTCAGGGACACAGTGGATCCTGTACAGGTATGAGGCTTTGCAAGTTCTTTATGACTTGAGCAAGGCTTGAGGACCAAGGGGCTACCAATTGGCATAGTTTTATGAAGGAGCAGTGATAAATTCTGCATCCCAGCAGCCTTGTCCACTGAGGACACTTTGGATGAACGCAGCTGCTTAGTAACACGGTCCAGCTCTTGCATATCTTCAACCCAGGGTTGCCCTTTCTCTTTTCCTCTACGTTGCAAGTTGCTTGGTGTAGGTTTTTATCTTTTGGGACTTCTAAAAGACGTGATTTCATTGCCTGTTCCCTCTTCAATGACTCGTTGCAGGACGAGATGCTGGCTCGGTTTGTCGTCGGCAGTCACATCAAACATCACCCCAACAGCAGGGACGTTGCGAACGGAGACTCCCAAGAGATTGTCCTCCCAAATACTTACGGCGTAGAACCCATCCCACAGGAGATCCTGAAGAAGTACATTATTTATGCAAAGGAAAAAGTCCACCCAAAACTCAACCAGATGGACCAGGACAAAGTTGCCAGGATGTACAGTGAACTCAGGAAAGAATCCATGGTGAGCAGACACGGCAGGAAGTAAGGTGATAACACAGGGCAGAGGCGCCTCCACGCCTTGCTCTGCTCCCTAAAGATGCAGGAAACTGAATTGTTGGGCCTTGTGCAGATGATACCCCTCTCACCTGACAAGTAAGGCAGCCCTGGAGCTCCTGTCTCTTTTTAGAAGAGTTTTTATCTGCTAAATCATCCAGCTGGGAGGTTGCTCATCTTCTGCGCATTGTAGTTTGTCTGCCAGCAGATGGCGCACTCTGTCTAGTTGTCGGTAGCATTGAACTAAGGCAGTGTCCGCAAAACCCACCTAGGGGGTCTGCGGCTCCATTCACATAACAAAAAACTACCATAGAAATAACCCCCCCCCCAAAGCCAACAGCAACAGAGGCTCTGCAGGACAATTGGGAAGCACTGAACTGAGGTGTGCTGGAGGAATTCGTTCGCTCCATGTTTTTAATCAAAGCCCTGTTCCCAGAGGATCTTCGTAGAATGGGGTATTACGGACTCAGTCAACACTGCCAGCTTTTTTTCTTCTGTCAGCTTACAGTTTTGCACAGCGATCAAAGGGCTGCTTCTCAAGTTTAAATGTCTCCCTGCCCACCTTGCGGGTGACAGCAGCTTCAAGCAGCTAGGAAGCCTGATGATATGATTTCTGCTCAGGCCTTCCAAGTGGGGCCTCAAGTGATGGCTAATTGCCCTCCCAGGATCTCTTCCCCTTCCATCTCTTAAGTGGGATTTCCTGCAATTGGCCATCTGTTTTGAAAAACAGGGAGAACAGTGCATTACTGGCCCCAGGGTCACTTCTGGGCCACATTTGACACACCTGTGTGGGTGACCATTGGCCTTCTCTACTCGCTTGGCACTGCTGTCACTTGTGAGGGAAAAAATATTTTTTGAACCGAAAAGTTGTGTGTTTGAAGTTTAATTTCTCTAAAGTTTATCTAAATCTACAGCACTTGAATAATATTTTTGAGCATGCAGCTCGAGGGCAGCTTGAAAGGCAGCCCTCTGGTCATCTCATAAAACAGTGTTACTGGTTTTATTTCTGTGTTTTTTTAAAAAAAAATCTCAAACTGAGGGACTGAATGGACAAGAGTGATGTGGAACATGCTTGTTTTGAACCAAGCCTTAATCCTCTTTATTCATTATATTTCTGCTAATCTCCCTATACTCTTTATATGTCTTTCACTGTGTTTTTACTGAGTTTGTCCAGCTTCTACAATATACCACTTCACAGCGGGCAAAAGGGGCTTACAAACTGATACGTTGCCAACATGCATAGGCAACGAGGTCAGAAGCAAGCTCTTTGCAAGTTGGGACGCTCCTTCTCTCTCCCTGCAGGCGACAGGAAGCATCCCCATCACCGTGCGGCACATTGAGTCCATGATCCGGATGGCCGAGGCCCACGCCCGCATGCACCTGCGGGACTACGTAGTGGAGGACGATGTCAACATGGCCATCCGGGTGATGCTGGAGAGCTTCATTGACACGCAGAAATTCAGTGTCATGAGGAGCATGCGGAAGGTATGTGAGGCTGCGCTTGTGGGCTGCGTAGATGGGAGGTCCTCCTTTCCCTTTTAAAGGAATATGGGGTCAACAGCTTCAGAACTTCAGTGTAATTGGGGTACAGGGCTATACCCAAACAGTGGCTCAGTTCTTTGTACATGTTTATATTGGCCTCATTGGACCTACTAACTAGGCAGACTGAAAACAGCTAGGGGTGGTTAGACTAAAGACCCTCGTTATTTTTCCTGAGACGTCAAAGCCCCTAGAGCAGATGCACTGATTTCCTGTGTCAGTAGCCTGAGCCTATGAAACAAAAGAACAAGAGATCCCATGCAAGTGACTTTCTCCATTCACTGTCCTTTGCAGTAGGATATATATACAGTGGTACCTCTAGTTGCACGCACCTCTGGATACGTATCCTTCAGGTTATGCACGCGGCAAACCCGGAAGTATTTTTCCAGGTTTCGCCACATGCGCAGAACAGGCACCTCGAATTGCAAAAACCTTGGGATCTGACCAGAGCTCCGGAACGGATCCTGTCTGCAACTGGAGGTACCACTGTAGTCCCCTTTTACGTTGCTTTCTCTTGGTAGCACCAGGGGATGGGGCAAGTCAAATGACTTAACAGCAGAGTGTTAATGTCGCAACTGGTGGATATAGGAGGATATTCCAGAATGGCGGCAAATAGATGGGCTAAGTGCAGCATAATGTGGAACCCTTTTGATTAGTGGCATGGTTTTCAGGGTGAGTGGGAGGTCAGCCAATGTCAGCGGTTCTCCCCTTAAAAACTCAGTAGCCAGCCTTCTCCAAAAAGTCCAGCATTTTCTTCCTCAGAAAGCCTGTTCTGAGGTATTTTTCTGTGGTCAGTGGATGGTTCCTTTACTTAAAATCTCGTCATCACTGGAATGTACCCCCCCCCCACTCCTTTCAATCTGTGTGATGGTCTTGATGACTCTTCCAACCTTGCTTCCTGTTTTTCCTGCACAGACTTTCTCAAGGTACCTTGCCTTCAGGCGAGATAACAACGAGCTCTTGCTGTTCATTTTGAAGCAGTTGGTGTCGGAACAGACAATGTACCAGAGGAATCGCTACGGCGCTCAGCAAGATACCATTGAGGTGCCAGAGAAAGATTTAGTTGATAAGGTATGTGGGTGACTTTCCCCCAACGTACTTGCTGTGCTTGGGAGCCTAAATACCCTTCCGAGGCCCTCCTGCGTTTCCTTTCTAAGCTTTGGGCAAATGGCCTATGAGCATCGGTTGTTGCAAGGGGAAGTGTAATACAGTAGCACCAGGCAGGCCTCTGGGCTTCAGCCTCTGCAACAACTTCTCTGGACATTGCACACATGTCTTGAAGCTTTAATGCAGCGGATGGTGAAGCTGTGACCCTCTAAGGTGTTTCTGAACGACGGTTCCCACCAGCCACAGTTAAGTGTTGCCCAGTGGTCAGAGAAGTTGCAATCCAGCTATCCTTGGGAAAAGGACCTCAAAGATCAAGATCAAGGAAACTATCACGTTCAATTTAGTAGCATTAAATCCTTGTGGATAAAATGTCCAAGTCCATCTAGTCTGCCAGGTGTTCCTGTGAGAGAGGAGCTAAAAGTCTGCACCCCTTAGGTACAGCTGTAGCGATCACAGAAACAGATTTAATGTGAAGCAGAGTCTTAGTGGCCACCAGCCTGGTGGGCTGTGTGCTCCCTCCACTGCTGGAGACAGCAATGCTTCTGAATGCCTGTTGCTTGAAACCACAGGAGGGGGAAACGCTGTTGCCCTCATGTCCTGCTTGCAGGCTTCCCATAGGCATTTGGTTGGCCACTGCTGGATTGGCCTTTGGCTTGATCCAGAAGAGCTGCTCTTCAAAGATGAGGCAAATACAGTTATTGTGTCCTTAACTGTTCAGTCATCTCCATTTCTGTTCTGCTGGTTGTTGTTGTTTGGCTAGACAGATATGCATTCATGATGAATCTGTTCTTGATTAAACTATTTGGAGCTTGTGGAAAAGTCTGGCAAACACACCTCTTTATATTATTCTCCTCTCTCTGCCCCCCACCCTCCTCCCAGGCTCGCCAGATCAACATCCACAACCTTTCTGCCTTCTACGACAGTGAATTGTTCAAGATGAACAGGTTCAGCCGCGACGTGAAGCGGAAACTGATTGTGCAGGCATTCTAAGGCCAGCAAATTCCTGAGTGGCTCCGGATAATAAGAATTTAGAACTGTGCTTCCGCCAGTGGTGCAGTGGTACACAGGCTGTTGCAAAGCAGTATCACAGGGAAGATCTGGATTATCTGCTACGAAGGGCTTGTGCATAGAATAGAATGGAGCCAAATACTCAAACTCCTAAGCTTAATTGTAGCTGAGCTTGCTGGATGAAATGTTGCAGGAATGGTTTCCTGCTGCCCCCTAAGTTTTTGAAATTTGACTCCACTTGGGCAGGTTTTTCTTCTTCAAATTACCTTCCTAGATTGATTAAACTTTAGCGGGTAGGGGTTGGGCACCCAGTGACCAGACACAGTTGAATTCTAGCTCCCATAGTCCCTGACCATTAGCCGTGTTATCAGGGACTGATGGGAATTGGAAGGCTACACTGGGAGAGCCACAGGCTAGCCAACCTGGTTGCAAGGTTCTGCCCTTCTGTAACTGGGAATGACTTTGTTTAGGCTATCCAAACAAGCAGAGGGAACGTAAGCGCAAGTTGTACTCCATCTCTCTCCATTTATTATACAGCCCAAAGCTGAGCGCACAAACTTTTCACACCTTGAAGAAATGTGTTGTTTCTGCACATGAAGATGGCTCATTGATCTTCTACAAGGTAGTGGTGTGTAGACCCCTCTTCAGACACATGAAAACAAACAGGCAAAGCATTTTCCCTCTTGATTTGAACGTATAGATAACGTTCATAAGTCTGTCATTGAATTAACAGTTCCTGATCTATTGTATGTATGAAAAGCCCAAGTGGTGTGTTCAGAGACAGATTTAAACTAGAACTTTTCTTCAGACTACAGTGTATCTTGAAGTACTTCTTTCCTATTTTGTAAGGCTGCTATGCACTTGTCTAGCAGGAGGCAGGTTTTGTGAAGTTTGTTTTGAAATGGAAAATAAAAGGTTTTTCCTTCTGTAAGAGAATATTAAATTTCTAAGTTGTTGTGCATCAACTGCATGTGCTGCTCTTCATGGAATGAGAGAATTTGCTGGTCTCTTGCTGCCTGAGCTTTCTGGCAAATTGTTTGTCTGCCCACTCAGCCTGCCTGTGGCAAGCTTAGAGACCCTTATTGTCTCATCAAAGACTGAATTGGAGACATTTAAGCTCCTTCATAGTCATTGACTAGTGGCAAAAAACAAACCAACTCAACAACCACCACTTCACAGCTGGCTGACTTGCTCCCTATTACATTTTCAACACTATATAATTTGGACTTCTTTATTTAACCCCCTGAGTGTTTTTCTAGGTGTCTCATTGCATTACGTAAAGATGTTTCGGAGCCAGTTTTATATCTGTTTTTGGCTGGAGGTTGCTCCTCTTCTTCCTTAGGTCAGCTCATAGACAGTAAGTGCTTTTTAGTGTTCTCTTCCACCATATTTTTAGTGCACCGAATGAAAATGTTAAAGAGCAGAGCACTAGTCTGTGAAAATTCAAACCTAGGCCTCTTCCAGAAGCAAATATACTTCTAGAAGAATAACAGGGATGTGCTATATGCCAATTTTTCAGTGCCTGACTTTTACATACTCTAAGCTTTTTAAGACAGGACGAATAATCTAAATACATTGATGGCTGTGGGGCTTCTGTACCATACTTAGTTCTGGCAATACTGATAGTAACTAGAGCTTAGACTCAAATGTTCATGGAAATGCAGCCAGCTCTTCCATCGCCACTTCCCACTTAGTGGACATGTTGCTTTGTCTGGTCTCCTCTGCCATCAGCCAGCCCCCTTCCTTGCCAACCTTTGTGCCTTAATGTCTATTTGTAATGTTTCCTGATTCTCCAGAGGTTAATTTGTTCTCTTCTGCAAGTCTGCCAGTCCACAGTTGGTCCTTCATTAGTATCCTGTATTATTTTACTCCGTAAACTCCCTGGCCAGAGATGGTTTATATTCTAGTCATTCTTCTGTCCACTTACTGACCTTATTGAGATTTGGTTTGATGATGGAATAAAGTTTTATATGCGCAAATGAGCAGGAGCTTTTGAGATGGCTGCTTGAAATATTGTCTTGTATATTCTTCAATATGGCCATTGTACCATAAAAGTTCTAAACATAATTATACAAGATCCCCGCTGCCTATACAGGATCTAGTACCCTGTTTATTCTGAATGTGTTTAATATTGAAGGGCAAGAGAACTACCATTATCTTCTGGAGTACTTGGCATGGCAAGTTGCCTTGCCCATGCTGATTAAATATTTAATGATAGAATATCTGCTGTATGCTTCAATAGGCAAATGCTTTCTCTGGAAAGAATGGAAGCACAGTCCTGGATATCAGCAATCATCTCTACACTAAAGCTTGCTTTTGGCTTACTGATGCTGACTAAAAAGAAAATACTTAGCATGTTTGCTAGAAGCCTTGCATTCTCTTCTGTGCCCCCCTCCCCTTCTTGGTTATATATAGAAATATAGTGTTATATAAATCGTGGTGGTTAAACCTGATCTGCTATCTTAAGGTTTTGATGATTTTATTGCACTGATTTGTCATTTTTCCTGTACACAAAAAGTAATCCAAAGGGATTCACAAAATAGTATTGAAGGTTAAAACCAAAATACCATAAAAACTCATTTCTGCCTATAAAAGCCAGGTCTAGCTTCAGCACCCACTGAAGAGACCACAAATACCTAAAATCTTCCAAATTAGGGGCCAGATGGAATTCTGGGTAAAGAGAAACGGGGGTCTGTACAAGAGCCCCCTCCCCTCCTGCAATTTCCAGCAACTGGTTTTCAGAAGCAGCGTTTCCTCTGCTTATGGAGGCAAAGCCAAGCCATCCTCCAACATAAAGGTAAAGGTACCCCTGCCCGTACGGGCCAGTCTTGCCAGACTCTGGGGTTGTGCACCCATCTCACTCAAGAGGCCGGGGGCCAGCGCTGTCCGGAGACACTTCCGGGTCACGTGGCCAGCGTGACATCGCTGCTCTGGCGAGCCAGAGCCGCACACGGAAACGCCGTTTACCTTCCCCGCTAGAAAGCGGTCCCTATTTATCTACTTTGCACCCGGGGGTGCTTTCGAACTGCTAGGTTGGCAGGCGCTGGGACCGAGCAACGGGAGCGCACCCCGCCACGGGGATTCGAACCGCCGACCTTTTGATCGGCAAGCCCTAGGCGCTGAGGCTTTTACCCACAGCGCCACCCGCGTGTATCCTCCAACATACCTTTTCTCTAAACTAAAAAGATCCCAAATACCACACCCTTTCCCCACAGGGGAGTTGCTCCATCTTGCCCAGCCAATCTTTCAAAGAGAGTAAAGTTTGAGATATCCTCTCCCCCCCCCTTTTTTTTTACAACTTCAAATTATAAGCCAGACACAGTAATCATGTAAGATGCCAGCTCTTAATGGGTCTGATCAACTGGTTTATTTATACAGTGGTACCTCGGGTTAAGAACTTAATTTGTTCTGGAGATCTGTTCTTAACCTGAAACTGTTCTTAACCTGAAGCACCACTTTAGCTAATGGGGCCTCCTCCTGCTGCTGCTGCATGATTTCTGTTCTCATCCTGAAGCAAATTTCTTAACCCGAGGTAATATTTCTGGGTTAGCGGACTCTGTAACCTGAAGTGTCTGCAACCTGAAGCGTATGTAACCCAAGGTACCACTGTATTAAGTAGAAGAAAAATATTGGAACAACAATTCTTCAGTCCCTGGAGCAGAATGGGCACAATTCCATCTCCCCAACCATGGTCTGGCCTCAAAGCAAACCTCTCACTATTTCCCCCCCACACCTTTTTTGAGTGGAAGTGTCCTGTGGGAGTGTCAGTGGGGCGATGATGATGATGATGATGATGATGATGATGATTATTATTATTATTATTAATATCCCAGCCATCTGGCTGGGTTTCCCCAGCCACTCTGGGCGGCTTCCAACAGAATATTAAAAACACGATAAAGCATCAAACATTAACAACTTCCCTAAACAGGGCTGCCTTCAGATGTCTTCTAAAAGATAGTTCTTTATATATGTCTATAGTATGTCAAGTACAAAGTTCAACAGTCAAGAAACAGTCCCATAGAAGTCCTGGAACATCCATGCCAAGGTCCATCAACGTGGACTTCAGCTCTGCTTCCCTTCTGCACTTTGCCTGCTGACTGCAGCATCTGGGCTTGATGAGGCTGTGACCCTCACCTGTTCTGAACCTACTCCAGCTGAGGAATCGCACACCTCCTCCTTGAGCTAGTGAGCCCCACCTGGCCAGCCTCAGCTTCCCAGAGCGTTCTCTCACTGCTGCCAACACTTCGGAGCCTGCCTTGTTTGTGGAGATGGGTCTCTCTGGTTCTGATGAGAGGTCCTGCTCTTCTGGTCCCTGCACACTGACCCCCATCCCCTTGCCATCCTCTGTCATCCCGTGTGTACTTTCTGCAACCCCAACCTCTCTTTTTCCATTCCCAGCTTGCCCCAGTGGGTCCCAGTCACAGCTGCACCCCTCGCCAGGATCCTCTTCCTCCTCCCCTTTGTCTTGCCAGTTCATGACAGCGAGTCTTTTATCAAGAAATTGGCATGGAGTGGTTAAGACACACACCGTGTCTTTTCTCAATTATGCAGTTGTTACTGCCATGATTTAATAGCTCTCCATTATGCTGAGCAAAAGCTTCTCTGCAGTGTTGCTGCTTCAGCACAGCCCAAGCTCCATCGGGAGCTCAGCTCAGAGCTGCACTCTCAACAGCAAGGAAGCTGCATGTTGGCTAAGTAAACCCACAGAGGTTATGTCTGGCCATCTTCTTACTGTTCACCTTGCAAGCCTTCTGGCTGCTCATTCAATGTATTTGTGCAGCTGGCAAATAAGGTTAGAATATTTTTAAATGGTTGAGAACGACAGGATCTGCAAGTTGTGTTACTGAAGTGCCTTTCCTCCAATTTGGCCAAAACCATTCAGGAACTTTTTGCTACTGTACTATAACAGTTATACAGGCACACATGGAGCTTAATTATTACAGCTAAGACTCTGTGTTGCCATGCATGATGCCATAGTGGAAATGCTTTTCTTCCAGTGCATGCATGAAGGCAAACTGGAAAAAGAACAGCTCTGGATTTGCTGGCTCAGCTTCAGAACCAGAGGTTTGCATTGACACCCAAACAAGATTGCTGCCCACACTCAAGATGAGCCCTGCTTTGTTGTTGTTGTTTAGTCGTTTCCGACTCTTCATGACCCCATGGACCAGAGCACGCCAGGCACTCCTGTCTTCCACTGCCTCCCGCAGTTTGGTAAAACTCATGCTGGTAGCTTCGAGAACACTGTCCATCTCGTCCTGTGTCGTCCCCTTCTCCTTGTGCCCTCCTGCATCCCCCTGCCAAGTTATGCACCTAGGCTTATAGTTGTACGATTGCAGCTCTTGGGCTGGCCCTGCTGCCAATATTTATGCCAAGATTGTCCAACTTGAACAATTGCCATGTTGTTAGAAGTAGGTGGCAACTGGTTCCTCTATATTATTGCTTACATGGAGTGTGTCTCTGTTTTAATTGCTTCAGCTCAAGATAAAGAAGCCATAACACGACAGAGTATGTGCTTTATGTGCATAGTCTCAGGTTCAGTTATCAGTACCTCCTATTAGGAAATGCCTCTTAGTAGCCTGGAGGGCTGCTGCCAACTGCAGTATAGGAAGAACATAGGAAGCTGCCTTACACTAAGTCAGATCCCTGGTCAATCAAGCTCAGCATGGTCAACAATGACTCTTTCAGCAGGGGTCTCTTCCAGATGGAGATGGAAAGGACTGAACCATGAACCTTCTGTATGAAAATCATTAGCTCCACCAACAAAATGCAGCCCTTCCGATAATCTTTCCAATAATATTATATGCCAGAGTCCAAAATTAATATAAATTATTGCAAGGGTCTTCATCTCTTAAAAGTGTGGTAGTTTTTATAATTTTGTGGTCAAGGGACACTGTGCCTTTCTAATGTCCTCATAAATGTATAATTGGGATGTGCGATGCAATTTGAAGCATGTTGATGCAAAGGTTCTTTTGCAATGCTTCTAGCCAACAGGACAAAAGGGTTATCTTCCACCACATATAATCTGCACAGTTAGTGAGACAGATAAGAGGGCCATCAGAGCAGAAGCAAACTGGAATGCAGTGTGATCTAAGCAAGCCCACTTCAGTCAGGATTTGGGAATCACTTGTTAAAATGACAACACAGGTGACAGCTTATCCTCCACCAGAGGAATCAAATTGTGTCCCTTTTACATTGGAAAGGTTGTAAGATTCAAGGTCCTTTTCTACCTCTATGCTGGGTGACCATTTGTGAATGATTTGTGGACAAAGGTGTTGGCAGTAATCTCGGATACATTAATCTGACACACTCCTCTGTACAGTGGAACCTCGGGTTAAGTACTTAATTTGTTCTGGAGGTCTGTTCTTAACCTGAAGCACTATTTCTGGGTTAGCGGAGTCTGTAACCTGAAGCGTATGTAACCTGAAGCGTATGTAACCTGAGGTACCACTGTATTTAAGAATCACCCCCCCAAAAAAATGGATTCCCCCCCCCACCAAGATACTAATGTTCTTACTAGCACTGAGGTGACTAAAACTACCATGGGGTACTAAACCAGTATCAGTATGCTAGTGTTTGGCAAGTAGTGTTGCCTGAGGAATTAAATCTGCCCCTGCAGAGAAACTGGGGGGAACAATGGTTCAAGACCAATGTCTAGAAAGATGGTTTCCTTTTTCTCTCCTGCATGAACCAATTGATGCAAGTCTTTAGCCTCAGCCATCTTTTGCCTGCCCTGTGGTTCTTTTCATCCTTTGAATAGGTAGTACTCTTTATCAGTGGCGTAGCGTGGGGGTGCCAGGGGTGCCGGCCGCACCGGGCGCAACATTTTGGGGGGCGCGTTTGGCAGGCCCCCCTCGAGGAAGCGGGAACCTCTCCAAGGCGCAGCGCGCCGTCGGTGGAGGAAAAGAGCCGCGCAGCAGCAGCAGCAGCAGCAGCAGCAAAGCCGGGAGGAGGAGGAGGTGGAGCGAGCCTGCTAATTGCTTGCTGGGAATTACCGTAATTTTCGCTCCAAAACACACACTTTTTTGCTCCTAGAAAGGAAGGGAAAATGCCTGTGCGTGTTACAGAGCGAATGCACTCATGCTTGCTTTACAGCCAGGAGGAGGGGGTGGAGCTGAGGAGGAGGGAGGGAAGGAGAGCCATGCCAGCAAAGCGGGCAGCAGCCGCTTACACGCGAGGAGGGACAGACGGGAGCCATAGCGAGCCGGAAAAAGCGCTGCGTAGCCAGCAACAGCTGCTGCAGCCTCAGCTAGCAAAGGTCCGTGCGCTCTCTAAACGGAGCAATGAGGCTGCAGAGGGACGGCAGGGCACAGGAGGGCTCTGAGCCACAAGCGCAGTGAAAACCAGTAAAAAAGTTTTTTAAAAGGCTGCTGGGGACAGGAGGGCACGGGATGAGGGAGAGGGGGAAATTACAATTCTCCCAGCGTCTCAGCTGATCCGCTGAGCAGGACTTGGGTTGCAGGGGATTCACCATTAGCTGTGTAAAGCAGCAAAGAGGGAGAGAAGGAGCAAAGCGGGAGTGGAAAGGAGCTGCTTACACTGCTGTAAGTGGCTGCTGTCCGGTTGGCTCCTTTAAAGCAACAGTGCTCTTTCCCTCCCCCCTCCCCGCTCAGCTCTCCGAAAAGCTCCTTCTCCACCCACCCCATGCGAGCTCCTTTTCCCCTTAGACCCCCCTCCTGCATTATTAGCCACATCCTTCTCCACCCACCCACGCGTGTTCCTTGTCCCCTTAGCAGTGGCGTAGCGTGGGGGTGCAGGGGGGCGGCTGTACTGGGCGCAACATCTGGGGGTTAGGGTTAGGGGCGCAAATCCACGGGTTAGGGGGCGCAAATTACTTGCCTTGCCCCGGGTGCTGACAACCCACGCTACGCCACTGCTCTTTATAAATCAAGACTCATCAGAACTCAACTTGTACTCTTTTTTTTTTGTTCATTATGTTTAACTTCGATTTAAAGATAATTTTTATGGCCTTCTAAAGTTCTCTTGTATGTCATGCAGGAAGAACTGTTGTTCGGCAGCTTATGAAGAGAATAAATGGGGCTTACTCCCTAGAAAATATGTTTGACCATATTTAGCAATACATGTACTTCTTTGTTGATTAAGTTTAATATTCTGCCCTTCCTCCCAAAGGAGCCCTTGCATATACATATATGCAGATTTAGTAAATTGTTTAATTGGTTGAGGCCAAGATGATTAATTCCCTAATGCATGGATAAACCTATTTTCCCCAATATTATTGCAACCTCCAGGGCTGCGCCTTGGAGCTGCAATTAGGTTATGGAGGCGAGCCCTTGTTATTCCTTGCGCCAGTGCTTTTTTTCTAAAAAAAATAAAAATGTTTAGGGGTACTCTCATTTTCCTACTTTTAAATGTATTTTTAATCTTTGTTGGAAGCAGCCCAGAGTGGCTGGGGAGACCCAGCCAGATGGACAGGGTACAAATAAAAAAATTATTTTTATTATTATTATTACTCAGCCTGAAATAATGCCCCTCAATGAGGCCAAACTTAGATTCACAAAATATTTAGGGGTATGCATACTCCTGCGTCCCCCCCAGAAAAAAGCGCTGCCTTGTGCAAACCTAAGTCCTAGCTCCTCAGTGGTAACCAGCTACTGTACTTCTGTGACCCACAAATAACCGGTGGAGATCCCCTTCTCTAGCAGGATCCAGTCCCCTAAACCTTAAAGTCATAGAATCATAGAATCAAATGTAGAGAGGGAAGGGACCCGAAGGGTCATCTAGTCCAGCCCCCTGCAAAGCAGAAATCTTTTGCCCAATATAGGGTGCAAACCCACGTCACTAAGTCTCGTGGTCTACCGACTGAGCTATCCCTTCAGATAACGACGCTCGCAGGATCGTAGCGTCGCCCACGAGCGCGAGAAGCGCCTCTTCAATGGCCTTCATCTTCCAAAACCTTCCCAGTTTCCGCCCAAGCCCACGCACACACAGAGGCTTCTGCCACCTGAGTCAGCTCCAGGGGGTCGGCACCCACAATAAGATATCTGTGGGGGCTGGGCCTCCCAAGTCAATGGGCAAAGTCGAAGCCCTTCACTGCGGACCCCGCAATCTTCAGGGCGAGACGTGGGCCACTAGGGCTGCTGCAGGTTCCTCCCCGCAGGTTGCTCGCTGAATAGGGGGGGGGTGCGCACCCGCTCCGTCTCCCTCTAGGACCCCGGCGGAAGCTGGAGCCCGGCCGCGGCCGGAATGCAGACCACTGCGCAATGCACACGATTTCTAATTCAGCAGCGGGGAGATCCTCGGTCGGCGGCAGCCGCCGGTCCTGGCGCGGGAGGGAGGGGGCGTGGTGGAGAGGCGAAGGCTCCCAGGAGCTGCTGCTGTTGCAGCAGGCGAATGAAAACGGCTGCGGTTGCTGGAACCTGAACGCCGGCCGCCCCCGCCGCCCCCTTCCCATTATTATTATTATTATTATTATTATTATTATTATTATTATTATTATTATTATTATTATTATTAGCCTTTGCTCCTTGCATTGGTCGCCGCCTGCGTTTGCTCCTTGCGCACACCCCTGGGAGAGAGGGGCGGGAGAGGCGCACGCGGCGGGGTTTGCAGAGGGAGCCTGGGCAGCGGCCAAGGCAGCATCTCTCCGCCGCTTCGGGCGGGTGGGGGGCTCTGGCTGGTTTTGGAGCAGAGCCACTCGCTCGTCTGACTGGCCGCGCACTGCAAGCAGCTCTGCCTCTCCTCGTCGTCGTCGTCTGCCCCCCGCCTTCCCCCCTGAAGCGCGGCCGCAGGGAGGGGGCGCCCGGAGAGCGGGGTGCTGCTGCTGCTGCGGGGAAAGTTGCCGCTCGCTGGCGGGGAGGGAGGGCGATGCCTTCTGAGCGCGAGCTGCCGCAGGGGGGAGAGGTCCTTTCTGCGGCCGGGAGGGGCAGAGCCCCGCGGGCGGCGGCGGCAGAAGCAGAAGCAGCAGCAGCTGCACAAGCCGGGTGCGACTGAAGAAAGAGGCAGGCGAGCAGGAGGACGGAGAAGCACCATGCCGCCCTTCTTCCCGCGCTGGGCGCCGAGGCTGCTCCTGCTGGCCTGCGGTGAGTCGTTTCCTTTCCCAGGAACCCGAGAGGGATGCATCCGTAAGCGCAGATCCTGCGGTCCCCAAAGGCAGCCCCGGACAAAGGAAGGACCCCCCCCCCTGCTGGGGATCCGAGGCTGCCTGCAGCGTGGGTGGGGATCGCCGTGGGGGAACCCCACGCTGGGGGTGGATCGGTGGGGCAGAGGATCTGGTCCTCTGAAGCAGCCCGGAATGGATGGTGGTGGCCTCGGGGTTCCTAACTCGGGGGCGTTTTTTCCTGGTATAAGGCACGGGTGCGAGACAGCAGCTTGGGCGATTGAGGTGGGGGGCAGAATGGAAATAGAAACCGTTTTCCTGGAGGTGGGGCTGGGTCGCGCAGCGGGAGGGGGCTCATACACCTTGGCAACCTCTTAATCTGGGAAGAAATACACATATAAAGGGGGAGGGGTTCGTATTAACTTTATTTCCAGTGCCAGTGTTTGAAAAGGCACACTTTGCGCGGGGGAAGGTTATTTATATTCTTGGAAGTTCCCGCTGTTGTTCCAATTCACCATGGTAAAGTATATACCGTACAGCTTATGTCCTTCCTTCCACATTGCTTTCTGCCTCCCTTTCCTTCAATGGAGTTTAGGTGCTTCTTATTTTAAGTGCCTTTTCCTGTAGCAAGGCTAGTTGCCATTCTAAAGGCGATGTGTTACCCCTTATTGACCACCACTGATGTTTCAGTCAGTGGGGTATCTTTCTATGAGGAAAGGTGTTTCTGTCATATGGGGCCACATAATACTTACCTGTAGAAAACAGCCTGGTGAGAGTGTCTCAAAGGTAAGCATTTTGCCGTTCCATTTTAAGTTTTACTTTATGGTGCCATGGAAAGTCGTGAAGCACCTGCCCTGGCACTAAATAATGGCTTCTTTGTGTGGTGGAGCAGGGAGTATGTCAGTCTAGGCAACCTGGAACTCTCTTGTCACGGAACAAAACTTTGCAATTCAGAGAGTTCTAGCCCAGTTTCAATGCTGTGAAATTCAATGCTGCTTCACACACCATATTGGGAAGTGGTGTTATATCATGTGGCTACAAGCAGCAGGGAGCTACAAGAAACTGCAAATTCACTGCAGCCTATAGCGTATAACACATGGTGGGGGGGTGGGATGGGGGTGGAACATCAAATGTATTTATTCAGTGCCCACACTGCAAACAGTGGGTGATATTTTTCCACTGCTGTTCCTCTCCATTTCAGGGAGGAGGCGGGGAATTACTATAGATTTCACTTGGACATTTGCGTGGCATAGTTGTGATGGGCATTGTGAATTAGCATGGAATTTACTAACGCCAGCAAAAAAATAAATATAGTGGTTAGGAAATGTAGTAATTCAATTACCCTTTCACTGGAAAAAAAATGGCTAATGAAGATTTGGCTGAAATGACAAAGTTAACTGCATAGACCCGTTTAAGAGATGGGCAGCAAGTAAAGACATTTGAGGGAAGATGGTTTCCTTTCAGTGACTTAATGGACCTAATATGTGTTTGGATATTCATAATGTTGATCTACTGAGAGTTGTTGTTAATATGGATTTGTATGTTTCAGTAGTGTTGTTTATTGTTTTAGGGGTTTTTTTAAGGGATGAAGAAAGCGTCCCTAGAGATTGTTGAAAATAGCCTTGATGTAGTACAGTTTCTGCCTGCCAAAGCTGAGTTAGGATTCCTGCATACTGTATTTTCCTCTAGGGACTGCATCCAGAATTACTTTGTACTGCACTGAGAATCATTTAACCTATAACATTGTCCTGTCACCTTTTCCCCCTTAGGGTATTTTGATTGTTTCTCTTTCACCAAAAATATGCTGTCGAGAAGTCCTGATACCAAATTAGACTCTAGTTCTGAAGAGCCTAATCTGTAAATTTTGAAAAGGGGGTGGGGTATTAATTAAAGCCGATTAAGTACAGAAGTAATTATAATTAGAATAGGTAGGAGGCCTGTGCTTCTAATTTTGTATAATCTCATTGGAGATATTTAAAGACGGAGACCCCTTTCAAAAAAATAAAACGAAGAATGTTGGAAGGGGCTATTTTTCTTAATAACGTGAGTGAACAAGCTCAGTTTTGTAATCTTAGTGAACAAAGTAAAATGGAACTTTGTAACAAACCATTAAATGTTTTCTTAAAAAATATAAAATTAATCAATACTTGGCAGCAATTGGCCTGGAAGAATGAAGACCATCTGGTCATTCTGCCAGTGATGGGATTGGAGCAGAGCATGGTCACCCTTCTGCTTGTAAATTGTGTTTCATCTCTTAAGTATTGAGAATAGATCCTTCTGTAAAGAGACACAAGTAAAGTTATGCTAGCCATGTTGGCCCCTAAGGGGGAAAAATCCATAATTCATGTTAGAACAACATCTTTCTCAGGCCGTTCAAAATATCACAATAGTATGCCAGCTTTAAAGTCCTGCAGAAATATTTTATCAGACTAGATTGTTTATTTAAAAAAGGGGGAAAGGAGAGAAAACCTGGCTGGTGGTAACACCATAAGTCTGCAGCTGGTAAAAGGTAAACGTACCCCTGCCTGTACGGGCCAGTCGTGTCCGACTCTGGGGTTGTGCGCCCATCTCACTTAAGAGGCCGGGGGCCAGCGCTGTCCGAAGACACTTCCGGGTCACGTGGCCAGCGTGACAAGCTGCATCTGGCGAGCCAGCGCAGCACACGGAACGGCGTTTACCTTCCCGCTAGTAAGCGGTCCCTATTTATCTACTTGCACCCGGGGGTGCTTTCGAGCTGCTAGGTTGGCAGGCGCTGGGACCGAGCAGCGGGAGCGCACCCCGCCGCGGGGATTCGAACCGCCGACCTGACGATCGGCAAGTCCTAGGCGCTGAGGTTTTACCCACAGCGCCACCCACGTCCCCTCTGCAGCTGGTAGTGGCTTTAAAAAAGAATATGGGAGAAGGTAGCAGCCACTCAAATGACTGCACTTCTAGGGGCTATGCAGGCAATAGGCTTCACCAATGCCTAGTGGGAAGAAGAAACATAACTGGCTGATTCTCCATCTCTGAAAATACAAAAATCTGGCTGTTACCCAGGTTTATCTCCATCCATTAATGAAGCACACAGGTTCCTTGATAGGTGGGGGGGGGGGGAGAATGACGAGAAACTAGGGCAGGAGTTCCTTAGGCATGGCACCACAACAGAAAAGGCCATGTTCCCACCAGCCTAACCTCTTTTGGAGGAGGAGTATACAGCAAGACCTTGCAGCAGATATTACACTACAGGCAGGCTCATACAGGAAAAAGATTTCATAAATTCTCTCCCCACTCACTTAGGGCTTTATAGGTAAGAACCAACACCTTGAATTTTCTGGTCACAAATTGGAATGCAGCAGAGTTAGTGAAAGGCCAGTGTAATATTGAAGCGCACATTAGAAGACATTCTGCTCTAGCTGCAGTTTCTGAACCACTTATTATTTATTTAAATATTTCTATACCTTGATTTTGTAAAAAAAAACCATACAGCCTATAGAACATTACAATAAAGTCTTATAGAACCCAATGGAGCCATTTGGGATCCAACTTCTATCTAAATAGTCTCTGTCACATGCTTCTTGGTGTGATCATAGAATATGGTAGAACTCTGGGACCTCAAACTGTTAGTTCATGTGGTGTTGCAACAAAGCCTTTAAATAAGTTTAACTGATTCCTAGCAATAGGTGTTTTTCTACAGGGGAGGCGACAGGACATCAACAAAACTGCTCAAAGGTTTTTGATGCTGTGTTGTGTACTGTATAGGTAAAGCCATGTCATATTTCTTAGTCCTCCTACAATTCATGGCAGGTGATAGATGGGCTAACAAAACACAAATATATGCTTTCCATAGATGGCAGCAGGTTCTAGACAAGACTGATTTGAAAACTCGGTGGGCAATCCAGTTATAAAATGGTTGATACAATCCTTGTGCCAAGTCCTCTTTCATTTAGTGAAAGTCTATTATTATTTTAAAAAAACAGAAAGGCAGAAGTGGAAGCCTGCAAAAAAAATTTCACAAATCCTTTCTGTTTGCATGCACACACTTACTCTTTGTATTCATGCATCCCTATTCACTCCATTTACATGTTATAATACTTGACTTCTTTATCTGCACCCATTTCCAGTTTTCTGAGACAGCTCCCCTTTTCTGAAAATTAGAGCCATTTTTTAAAATTGTGTTTTGCATACTTAATTTGTTTTATTATTCATTTATGTGATTTTAGGCTTGTAAAATAAAACAAATGAAGATAAAATAAAAAAATACAGCAAGACAAAATGCAGCATTAAAACAAAATCAAATAAGTTCAAAAGTAGATAAAATAAATTTGAGAATGGGGGGGGGGATCAGTAGAGTTCAATTAAATGATTTAATGCAAGGATGGTTACCTCCTAGTTCAATGGGCCTAATTCTGTCAACCAGTAACATTTTTCTGCCCTGATGGGGATGGAAATCACTCCCTCTCCTGGGAGGTGAGTGAGTGGAGAGGGGGTAATAACTACCCTTTAGCCGGTCTGTATGGATGGATTCCCTTGAAGCCCCCCAAAGTCTTGCTGCCTCTGATTTAAGAAGCTTGGGAAAATAAAAGGTCTTAGTGCCTGACCCAGAAAAGTAATCAAAGTTGGTGGCCAAGTAGACTTCTCTTGGGGGGACATTCCACAACTGGGGTGCCACTACTGAAAAGGCCCTTTCATCTCATCCATCTCTGTCTAGCCATAATTAAGTGCTCTAACATTTATCCAAAGCTTGCTTAACTTCACAAGTAGGCAAATAATAAATGTAGACCTGCAAAGAAACTCTGAGGGGGGCAGGGCAGGGCAAAGGGGAGAAAGGGCTTTCCATCTTATCCTTCCGCTCCCTTTTTTCTTTTTTCTTTTTTCTTTTTTGGCCAATTTTTATTGCTTTTCAAAAAAATTAACAAGTTCACATCAAATTACAGTGGTACCTCAGGTTAAGAATTTAATTCGTTCTGGAGGTCTGTTCTTAACCTGAAACTGTTCTTAACCTGA